CATTTGGGCAGCATTTTCTCATGATAAAATCTTAAAGCACCAGACGGGTCATTCAAACTCAAAAAGCTTTTCATTATAGTATTACACAAAAAAGCATCAGGTTCTTCGAGACAATCAAAGAACACAACAGCAAGAGAAACTGAGCTTAAACAAGTACAAAGCTTTTTTAAGACCCGACTTGCGACAAAAGAGTCTTGAGAGAGGCCCGAGACTACGAGTTGTGCGTGGATTTGGTGAAAGTCTTTGATTCTTGTGCATGATTCTAGTTCTTGTAAAATGGGGTGGTTTACATGTTGGTTGTCTGTGACCGTGATTTGGGGTTTTGACCAGAGTATTGGTGGGGTTTGAGAGAGGTTTTTCTGGGCTTTAATGAATTTGTCAAGCGAGAGTGCTTCAGTTTTAGAGAATTTGAGCCTAATAGTCATTCTCTCTGTACTGGAATTTGGCGGGAATGAATGGGAGCTTTGAAGCAATGCGCGTTCCGTTGGACTGAATATCCTGGGCCAATATAGTAAGGACAAAAATAGTCAAGAGAGGAATAACATATCAGAATTACTGTACATATTTTAACCTATGTTTTGTATTTATTGACAGATGACATACGTGGATTCTACTTGGATGGGGAGCGCAATGGTGGAAGCATTACGGATTCTCATTGTTGTCGACCGTAATAAGGAAACAAGACAAATGGACTCTATCATGAATGTTGCTTTACCATCAGAATTTTTTTTTTTTTTTTTTAAATTTACTACATAAATGAGTAGATGACTCTACTCTACTGTGTTGTTACTGTATTAGTGAAAAAGAAGTTGCTGAAAATGGACAATCAAATTGTGGGGGTATGATCATTGTTCCAAGTCTTTATGACTGTGGATATAGATTTTCGCTGCACCATGGAGTATCAGGAGAACCCAGTAATACAGAAACTATCTTCAGTTCTTTTAAATTTCTCATCTGTCCTAGCAATCCGTGGCAGACAAAACTTTTCACTTATATAATATCCATTACGTCCAGGAATTTTGCATAGCGTTCAAAGTAAATCGGAAAATAGAAAATAAGTATTACCGGAAATTAGATATTTATAGCATAATATTCATATATAGAATGAATTAACACTTACATGATGTCACAATGCAGCCTGATCAATAATTCAATATAGTGGGGATTATCATTGTTCAAGCATCAGACCAGTAGACATCAATTTCACCCCACTGGTTTCTGGGCACTCCCAAGGCCTTCCAAACAGCTTGAGAAGCATCAACAATGTTGTGACCACATGGAGGCTGGTAATCATTGTCCTTATCACAACCCATTGAAGAGTCACATTCGTCAACAACCATGGCCCGGACGCTCTTGCCACTACTGTAGATGTTGATATAGTTTAAGCAACGACTGCCTTTGTTGTACCACCCTGTTGAAAGTGCCACCACAGGTTTATCATTTGAATGGTATTGGTTGTCACATTCAGATGGTGCACCTCCATCCCCACCCTTCTCAAAGCTGTTGAGTGTCAAGGTTGCCTTTGTCCGGTTGGTCACTGCTGGTGAACATCTGTAAGTGGTGTAAAGTCTGCCTGGTACACAGCACAGAGAGTCGTTATCCTCAACGCATTGTCCTGGAGGAGGCTTTCTACCTCTTATCTTGCCACTCGGCGTGCAAGTCTGAGCCTCAACACTTATACAATTACTGAGAAGAAAAAGAAAGCAAAAAAGAAGAAAAACACTTCCACATACTTGATTCTTCATCTTCTTTTTGTTGGTTTAATTGAAAAACCTGAATGGTGAAACGCTTCATATAATGATCAGCAACTTGAAACCGACAGCTTCGACCCTTGGGAGCTTATCTTTCAAGAAACATAACACGACAAGAAAACAAACAACAAATGGACACCACATAGGTAAAAAGATCCAAGGGTTTGATTATTAGTTTCATGTTATGCCGGCCTCAATTTTGTAGTTATTATGAATTACCTTGGCCTTTTGCCTATTTTCGCTGCCTTGACCTCACATTCGTCCGAGCGGGTGAATGAGACGGCAAGTTCACAATTTTGCAACGTTGATTGTTACCGTCTAAACAACTGATAAAATAATCAACTCAGCACTATACAGTGCTTCTGATAACTGATAGTCAATAAACAAAGAATACAACAGATAATTAGATCTTGATCATACATAAATAATAACAAAACATGTATCACAAAAATTTCAAAATTCTATGTCAATATAAGTCCACCACTTCATCAACCTTTCTTATGATGCATAATCAATTTTAAATAACAGTGATAACATCTCGGCTGCTTGTGGGTGTATCTTCTCTCCCGACAAAAACGCATGAACTCCACCATTTAGCACTATCCAACTACATCCTGGGTTCTTCCTTACACCCTTCAATCCCATTTCCTTCCTCAACTTGTGCTCTTCAGCATGTTGACCATTCATTGCATATATATTGCAGAGTACCACATGAGCAGGAGAATTAAATGGGTCCAGCTCAAGGAGTTGTGTAGCAGCATGTTCAGCAATATCAACATTTTTCTCACCAAACCCACATGCACCAAGCAATGCCCCCCAAATACGATGATCTGGTTTGAAAGGTAGTCCCAAGACTAATTCTTCTGCTTCCCTTACTTTCCCTGCTCGGCCCAAAAGATTAATCATACAAACATAATGCTCCAAACTAGGTTCAATTGCATAAACATCATACATTGCATTGAATAACTCCCATCCCCGACTAACTAGCCCTACATGACTACAAGCTGATAAAACGCCCAAAAAAGTAACAGAATTTGGATGAGTCCTAGATTCCAACATCAAATCAAAGACCTTTAGAGCTTCATTAGCTAGCCCATGATGTGAAAACCCCATTATCATGGAATTCCAAGAAACCAAATCTCTGGAAAGCATGTTTGAGAAAATAATATATGCATCATCTATTACTCCACATTTTGCATACATTGAGATCAGAGAATTCTCAAGAATCAAGTCAACTCCTGATTGTGTTTTAATCAGCATGCAATGGATCTGCTTCCCCTGATCTAGATTAGCCGTTGCGCCTGCAGCTCCTAAAAGAATAGAGTATGTAGAATTTAGAGGAGAAACACAATGAGCCCGCATTTCCAAAAATAGATAGGTAGCTTCTACAGAAAGCTCATTTTGGACATAGCCCGAGATCATTGCTGTCCATGCAACTGCGTCTCTGTGAGGCATGTTATAGAATAGATAAGATGCCTTCGATATTTCGCCAACACTTAAATAAGCATTGATCATTGAAGTCCATGAGATCTCATCTCGGAATGGTACTGTCTCAAACAAATTTTGAGCCTCTTCAAGCCGTCCAATGCGAATATAACCCTTGATCAAAGAATTAAAAGACTGAACATTACAGTTATTTATGTTCTTGTTGAAAATGTAGTGTGCAAAGTCCATGATGCCGAATAAAGAATACATATGAATAAGACTCTTAGATAGTCTACCATCATAGTCATCATATTCCCAACTGTTAACAATCACTTGAGCATGCAACTGCTTACCAGGATGAGGAAACCACATACCAGCACAAGCGTAAGCAAGCGATATGAATGTCTCTCTATTTGGCCTTACATCATAGTTCCCCCTCATCTCAATGAAAAGAAACAAGGCTTCTTCATGAAATCCATTCCAGGCAAACCCTCCAATCATGGCTGTCCAAGAAACAATATTCTTCTCTGGCATGTTCCGAAAGAAGAGATACCCCTCCTTCACTTCACCAGCTCTACAATACCCTGAAATCATAGTAGTCCAAGTAACGACATTCCTCTCCTCCATTTCGTCAAACAAAACCCTTGCTTCTCCCATCCTACAACTCTCCACATATCCTGAAATCATAGCATTCCAAGAAATCACATTCTTTACTGGCATACTATCAAAAATCTGTCTAGCTTCCTTTAACTCCCCATTCCTTACCAAGCCAGCAACCATCGAGTTCCATGAAACAACGTTCCTTACTGGCATCTCCTCAAACAACCTTCTTGCCTCACAGATCCTCCCTGTATCTGCCAAACCACAAATCATCGCGGTCCATGATACAACATTCCTCTCTGGCATCATCTCAAACAAACTCATCGCCTCACTCAACCTTCCGTTATGCAAAAGCCCAGACAACATGGCATTATAAGTAACAATATTTTTATAAGGCATGTGCTCAAAAAGTATTTTGGATTCATCAATGAAGCCATTTTTTGAGTATTTTGTGAGTAATGAGGTAAAATGGACGACAAGCCAATGGGGGTGGTTTTGTTCTGTCGTTTTGTCGATCAGTTTCCGCGCATCTTGAAGTTTGTTCCTAGAGAGATAGTTGAGGATTTGGTAATCATTGGACTCAAGTTTGTCGTAATGGGTTTTGCGGAATTTGGTTTGGGAGTTGAAGTGGCGAGGATGAAAAAAATGGCAGTGGAGACAGAGGGCGGGTTTCGCGAGAGTGAATGGGATCGATTTGAAGCAAGAAGCGCTCATTAACTGTTTTTCGAAATGAACCGGTTAACAGAAGCAAGAAGCCCTCATTAACTGTTTTTCGGAATGAACCGGTTAACAGCCAGCAGCGAGCCTTATAAATGAATGAGAGTTCAAGCAAAATTGCAACAGCCAGAGTGCGGAGCCGAGATTGAACATTAACGCTGCACATTTTAGGATTTTAATGAAGTATTTATTGGTTTTTCATAATTTTGTTATGTCATTACAAGATAACGTAGAACTTTATTTATCAAGAGGGATTCCGCTTTTTATGTTATTAACATTCATATCATTCATTAAAACATTTTTTTTTTTTTTTTACTAAAATGTTAATCCAATTTACACCTATTTTGACTATCCTCAAAACCTGAATTATCTTATGATTCTATGTCAATAACTACAAAAGAATGGTAACACTAAGACGGAACCAACAATTTGGAATGATAATGTTATGGGATCTCCAACACTTGCACCAATTGAAAATCAATTTGATTATAATTCTTTTCAAATAGCAAACATAAATAATGTTTATAAAAGATCACATCAAAAGAAGAATTAATGGTTATGTAAAATATCTGCGTGTCACATACTTCAGTAATTAAAATCTTCTTTAAGATTACTACCCATTTTGACTAGCTTAATGGAAGATAATCACTTCAAAGCATCAGCTTCACACTCAGAACAGAGCCTCTTTGGTCTCATGAGTCAAAAATCCATCTATCAAGCTACAAATTACTTTATGCTTGTATGTCCAAGAATAAAACTGCTAAATGGAAAGGATTAAATTGTCTCATTTCTTATACTTGAAAAACTGTTGCAGTCTGAGATGGCCCTGCAATGAAACAAAGCACAAATATTTTCATGAGTACATGGCCCAAACTTAAGAGATCCCAGTCAATCCAGTTTACGGTATACAATGAAACCTCATGCTTACATTACTTACACCAACAATACATGCAGCTGATATTGAGCATGAAGCTCAAACAAGCACCATTTTCCACTGTTACATATTTCCAGGTCCCGCTTGGAGACAAAGTAATTGGGTATCTCATATCTACCAAGATGGCAAACTTCAAGTTACATATCTGATACCGACCACAGGTAAGCTTCTCTCTCTGTAGCGCGTTTCTCATTCGTCCTTTTGAACAATTGCTGTTCATATCCTACAATATGCAATATAGCAAAAGCAAGTCAAATTTCAAGACAGACTTTTTCTTTTCCCTTAAAAGGGCAGAAGTTCTGATTTTCACAGCTTATGGTTCCACAAACAAAACCCTCCTGTGGCCAAAGATTGTTGGTGAGTGATCTCAAATGGAAGTTGCCCAAATGATTGAGCTCACCACATCTTGGTACACAGGACATCCACAGGCAGAATCATGGCAGACTCTTCAAAACAATAAATAAATAAATAGAACATGAAATAATTGACAGGATTGAAATGGAAGTTAACCAACCAGTACTACGATCGACCCCATCCCAATGCCTTCCTGGTCTTATACCATACCGATTTGGTGCTGCATCTAGTCCTCTTTTTATCCAGCTGTGACTAGGAATGTCCTGAGGAATTATAAATCCTGATTCCTTCATCTTCTCATTCTCCCCGAGGTCCAGAAGAACTGGGTCAGAATACTTTTTCTGCAACAAGGTGAAAAGAAATATGTCAAAATCAGTACTAACAGAAAATATAGCAAAACATAATCCCAACTAAGCCAATGAAGAATTGGAGAGTACTAAAAGGTCTTTAGTGTTAATGATGACACCAAAATATGCTCCATGTTTATTAGTGCTGCCATACATGAATGGTGTTTTAATTAATTTTTTTAAATGTTGTACAATGATCCCTGCATCTGACACCTTTTTCCAGTAAAATTGTGATTGAAACAAACAAAAATGACTAAAAAATACCTTGACCAAATGAGCCATAGGGTCACCCCATCTTAGTCTATCCTTCATCATTTTGTCGAGCTCTGGGTCATCTCTGCAAGTAGAAGATAAAACTTGGAAATTAAAACAAAGTATTGAACAGGAAAAGAAACAGTTCATGCTTAAAGGTCAGAATTGAGAAAAACACCCAACTGCAGAATACTCTTCACCACATATGACTACAAGAAGCTTTCTTTGTTAAGCAAATGGCCAACATGATCTGAAAGCAATAAAATGTGACATTTGAACCATTGTTAAATATCACTATTTTTTTACCTGTTTCGCGCAAACGGTTTTTCCTTTTCAAGTTCTAATTCCTGCACTCTAGCTTCAGCTTCCCGCTTTTGAGCCAAGCCTTTCCCCCATTCTAATTTAATCTCCTGATTTAAAATAATAATAAAAAATCCCAATCAACTCTAAGCCTCAACAAATAAAATTACATAACAATTATGGATGCGCAACATAGGCCACCTAACATATTTGTTTAATCTAGGAGGCTTGATATCCTAATCTTCTGCATTCTTGCGATTTAACAAATTTAAAAGTTTCACTTGGTAAAATAAATATCCTTCTAAAGGTTCAAAAAACAGCTTCAACAGAAATAAATGTAAAAGAAATCAACTCCAACTAGTGATCAGAAAGCTCAACTGATTTATGAAACCATAGAATGCTAAAGGCATAATTTTTTTAAAAGTTAAATTTTCAAAGGAATACCTTGGGTTTTTCTTGTCCTTTTTGTTTTGATTTTAAGTAATCATCCTTCGATACACGTTCCCCTGCAAAATTGATGAGTCAGAAATATGAAAAAGCATGTAAGAACAACCAACTTAAAAAATTCACTCTTCTTCTAACCTTTCATCTTATCACGATATACAGCTTCGGCACCTCGTCCAGTTATAGAAGGATCCATCCCTTGAAACCTACAAAATCCATAAGTAGAATTTATTAAGTCACACAAACAACTTAGATATACTACTAAAATTAGAAAGGTATCCTATTTCCNATGCTAAAGGCATAATTTTTTTAAAAGTTAAATTTTCAAAGGAATACCTTGGGTTTTTCTTGTCCTTTTTGTTTTGATTTTAAGTAATCATCCTTCGATACACGTTCCCCTGCAAAATTGATGAGTCAGAAATATGAAAAAGCATGTAAGAACAACCAACTTAAAAAATTCACTCTTCTTCTAACCTTTCATCTTATCACGATATACAGCTTCGGCACCTCGTCCAGTTATAGAAGGATCCATCCCTTGAAACCTACAAAATCCATAAGTAGAATTTATTAAGTCACACAAACAACTTAGATATACTACTAAAATTAGAAAGGTATCCTATTTCCAAGTGAAAATTTTGAAGACCAGTTATCTGAGAGAAAGAATTAAAATATTCCACTCTACATGAGCATATGAAACCTTGTCCCATGAATATGGTGAAAAAAAGTCCATTTCATTAACAAGCAATGTTATAGCACAAAATGGAAGAATCTCAAAAGAGCACTATTTATGCCAAACAAGAAAAATTTACCTCAACAAATCCTCATTCTTAGTTTTAGAAATTTCTTCCCGGATATCATTGCCACTAATTAATCCAGTTCTTGGCAGCGCTTTCGAGGGAGCTGAAACAGACAATTCTTCTTTCCGAGTCCTCCTGGGTGGGGAAAGGTCTGCAACAAAAGAAGCACAGTATGTATCTCTTTCAGTTGAATGTCTATGTAAAATTTCAAGAGAAAGAAAAGCCAATCCATGTTTACCAGCATCCTTCTTATTTTTCCTTGGCGGTGAAAGATCCAATTCAGAGACACGCATATCATCTCGATTAGATGAAACCTGATTAGCTCGCCGCGAAACAGAAATGTCAGGTCCAGGTGATGGAGTGTGATGACGTTTCCCACGCTGTCGAGGAGGTGACAAGTCAGTATCTTCTCTGGCAGGTTTAAGTTCAAGTTCTGGTGAGGGTGAGTCATTCCTAGCTCTACGTTTCCAAGGTGGTGATAGGTCAGAATCCAGCCCAGTGGACTGTCCAGGTTTTCGGTCAGGTTCAGGAGATGGCACTTGATATCGTCTCCGTATCTGTCTCTGCCTTGGAGGTGACAAATCATTATCCTCTATTGCAGGTGAAGGTACATCATTTTGAGCCCTATGCCTACGTGGTGGAGACAAATTAGAATTGGAAGGAGATGGAGTATCCTGGCGATTCCTCCGTAATCGTGGAGGAGATAAATCAGCACTTTCTCTGACAGAACCTGGTGGCTTTGTTTCAGGTTCTGGTGAAGGGGTATCATTTTGAGCCCTCCTTTTACGAGGTGGGGACATATCAGAATTTGGTTGGTTAAAATCTGAGCGTCCAGGACCAAGTGAAACCCAACCACTTCCATCCTCAGCTATAGCATTGTAGGGCCTTCTCAACCTAAGTTGTTCCAGCCGTTTCATTCGCCTGACTTCAACATCTTCATCAACTAGGGGCTTCTCTTCATCTATCAAATGAGAAGAAGAAAGTTAACACAACAAACTCCTAATTCGACAATATAGATATTCATTTAGTAACAGAAAGAGTATTATTTCTTTTACCAGCTGAATCATTGTCCTCTTCTTCAAGAATTACGGGTTTTTGCCAAACAGGATCTTCATCGACCACCAGAACTCCTGTACCGCGATTTGAATCTGGTTTCTTCTTCTTTTTCTTCTTTTTCTTCTCTTCTTCATTAGTCGTACTTTCATATTTTTTAAGATATTCTTTCAGCGACTTTGGTCCCGAAGCTGCCATTCTTCAACTGATAGCCTTGAGCCTAGATAGATAAAACTCTTTTACAACAGTTTCCTAACAGTTTCACATTCAATCAGCATAAATTTCTTGACTATTGTGGCTTAAAAAGATTTGTTCAAAATTATCAAACGAATACGCTAGTATTCCTATAAAAAAATTCAAATGAATAAATGTATTTTAATTAAAGAAATGAAAAAGAAAAAAGAAAAAACCTAGGCTTGTCGGTTGAGTCGGCAGCGTAGTTAAACGGCAGAAAATTTCGAGGGTTTCAAGTCTTCAACAGTTGGCGGCTTCAGAGCGGGACTGTGGGACCACTTGTGATGGTTTGCGAAGCGAATGGCGACGGCGTGGCTTGGAGGAGAGCAGCGGCTGTGGGATATTTGTGCTTGGAAGTCGCACAAATCGAACGATATTTGATTTTTTTTAAAATATTAGGAACAGTTTTTAACTTTTTATTTTATAAATTTTATAGAGGGGAATTAATTAACAGCATGTAATATAATAAATTTATTAAATGAAAATAATAATTTTCAAAAACAACTACAGTATTATTAAATTATTTAAGGATTTAAAAAAATTAAATCAAAATGGTAAAGTAATAGAATCTGTGGGACTTTTTATTTAAATTAGATTTGGAAAAATATTGATAATACCCTTTTAAATTAAACAAGTAAGCTTAGGAGTAATTTTAATTTCTACTTTACCTTTTAATTTACAGAATTTAAAACTTGCCTCAATTTACAATTAAATTTACCCAAAAAGTAAATATATATAGAGTAGTAGTTGTGAATACTGAATACGCATCTGGCATTGCGGTGTCAACTCTGAATAACGGAGGGGATTAAATATGGAGTTCTTGGATGAAGACGCCAGGCCTCGATTCCTCTTCCAATCACGTCCTCAACCTTCATCATCTCCCGACAATGATGATAACACCAGCTTCAATAAACCCTCTAAAACCTTTCTCTTTATTTCCATTTCTATCTCTTTCCTTCTCTTCTTTATCTCCTTCTTCTTCCTCCAAAGCGAGCCCTTTAAATCCCTCATCTTATGGCTAATTCTCTCCCTCCTTGTTGGCCCTTTTGCCCCCCCGCAGATCACTGGTGGTCACACTCGCGTCGGTTACGGTCCAATCCTTGAGAACCCTGTTCAAGATCAGCAGATCGAACCTGAAATAAAGAAGAGACCAAATAAAAACCGATCTTCAATCAATAAGTCTCCGGATTTTCATGCTAGTCATGTTCCGGCTATTGAAAACGCAAATGGATCAAGTGGGTTTGTGCCAAAAGAAAAGAAAAGTCAAATTTTGGAACACAAGGGGAACGGGGTTGGTAGAAATGAGGAAGAGAAGGACTGGACTGAAGAGGATATTGAGATTTTGAAGAAACAGATGGTGAAGAACCCGGTTGGGAAGCCGAAGCGATGGGAAGTGATTGCTGAGGCTTTTAATGGGAGGCATAGAGTGGAGAGCGTGATAAAGAAAGCGAAAGAATTGGGAGAGAAAAAGATTGATGATAGTGATTCGTATGAGCAATTCCTGAAGAATCGGAAGGCATTAGATGTGAGAATGCAAGACAAAAATGAAGGGTTGGTGATGGAGAATGGTGAAGAAAGTAGGAAAGATGATAAAGAAAATGGTTGGAGTGCTGGAGAGGATATAGCATTGCTTAATGCATTGAAAGCCTTTCCTAAGGAAGCTCCAATGAGGTGGGAGAAGATTGCGGCTGCTGTGCCTGGCAGATCAAAGGCTGCTTGTATGAAGAGAGTTGCTGTATTGAAAAAGGAGTTTCGGAGCTCTAAAGCTGGTGCCGATAGCTAAGAGATTTGTGGTGTTTTCTTTGAGTTTTGAATTACAGAAGCCATCATTGAGGTAACTGATGGTTCATTACAATTTTTTTTTCTTTTATCAAATCAATATCATTACATGTACTGGATTAAGGATTGAAGTCCTTGATAGTTTTGTTGGTGACTTAAGAGACATAAAAGTAATTTGTAAAACAAATGTTTCAATATGTAATCCGGTTGGCATTTTTTTTTTTCAATAAGATTAAGCTTGCGGATGTGGTGATTTTGAATAGCTGGTTGATGAAATTTATTTGGTATTGATCTTTAGCTTATTATTTTCATCGTGTGGGAAACCATGAAAACTTCTTTGCTTTTGTGGGATTCATTTTGATTGTCTTTTATTTGTTCGACATTAAGAATGTTATTTGTTGTTGCGGCAATTTTCGTACCGTGCTTACATAATAGTGCTGAGACATGGAAAGGATAGTGCTAGATGTAAATAGAGGAGAAAGATTTTCTGGAAGGTTTGATCTTTTGCAATGGAAATATTGGCTTTACCAATGAAATTTGAAATGTGATAGTGACAAGCAGACAGCCAAACAAAGGGATGGATTCAATTTACATAAATATGCATTGGGGTATATGGTGGGTTGTGGAATAACAGAGATGCCTCTGGCAAGTATTGCAAATAGGACCTATTAAAACAATCTGCTGGCTTTGATTTACTGCAGCTGTGATGGCAAAATTAATCATTGGAAGTTCAATCGGATTATTTGCAGATTTTAATCTTAATTATTAGTTGAAAAGCTTCTATACTTGCTTGCTCGATCAATTTTTGTCATCTTCTCTTGAGAAGTGTTAGTTTTGTTTCATGTAGTTCTATGCACTGAGCTGTTAATTTTTTTTGGCTAAAGTTTTAGATGTTTAGCCTTCTCCTAATGGTTTATGCTTAAGAGCTTGGGCACTGAAAATTTCTCTTTATGAGCTGATTAACCTTTAGCAAAGAAATAGTGTAGCATCTATGTTGTCTCATGATTCACCAGAAATGACACCTTATGGTTTTGATTTAGTTCTCTATCTGGCTCTTCGTACATGCCTATGCGAAAATTGTGGTAATTCGTAGTAGCAGATATTTATGAATTTGTTGAGTATTGCATAAATTGAGCATCCCCATGTGATTATAAAATAGCAAGCTAATAAAAGGGTATTTGATTAACTACATGGTTTTCTATGAAAACCCAATAACTCTATTGACCGCAAACAACTTTCTGAAGTTATATCTTAAAATGAGCATCAAGCTACTTGTGGTTATATAAGCTTTTGCATCATGAGTTACAGCTTGTAAGGTAATTATCATGGCTAAGCCAATAGTGTTCAATTCTAGTTGTCTGTTATGCTTTGAGCTGTTAACTGTTATGATTTCATTGTTCATCAACTGTGACAGAACATTGTTTAATGGGTCGGAATGCATTGAAGTGGGCATCCACATTGAATGTGAGATTTCTAACTCGAAATTTTCTAGTCTATAAGACAAATACCGCCAATCGACTACTGTTACACTGGGGTTAAACTAAACTCTTATTTTCACCAAATTAACCCCTGAAATACGGAAGGCCTTTTCTCTTAGCCATGGGTTTAGAACTGCAGAAGCTCATGTTTACTTCAAAATCCCGATTTAATGAAGCTGTTTCTACCGAAGCCACGAGGAAACTCCATGGATACACAAACCTTTTCCGCACTCTATAAAAACGGTTCTAACCAAATATAACAGCGAATAATTGCGAAGTCGGCCCATGCCATTAAAATACAATGAAGCTTTTTCCATTCTCAATTATTATGTGTTTCACCATCCGCATTCGTATGTGTCTCAAATCATATTCCATTTTGGCTTTGCAAAATACAATATTTGTAAAATACCACATCATACATCTAAATCATTAGGCGCATCCGCAACCGCAATGATCAGAGATGTGCAATCTGGAGCTCAGACTGGTCATGTCCAGTTAAAGAAAAAGGTCAGAAGCAATTATTGGGAGCTGCTGAAACCAAGAAATCGGTCCACAATTGCAGCTACAGAGTTAGCAAGGCTGTCTGCTGCTTCTTGTGTGGATGCCTCTGCATATACACGTATGACATCCTCTGTACCTGAAGGTCGTATGAAAGATCGGCCTTGATGATATTTTGCTGCATCATATATAAAATCCTCACTGTTACACTTTGCACAATCCCTTGAAAGATTGGGGAAACTTTACATTCTTTTACTTAAAAAGTTCCCATTACATGTATATATTCATGAATGAGCAAACATTACTGAACAATTAAGATCCGAAGTCTGAATGATATGTCATTACCAATTTCAGCATTAATAGCTTCTTGAACGCCAGGGGGGCTCACAACCACAGTTTCTGCATTTGCCGTAACACAAGCAGTTCTGTCCACCACTTTAACCTAAAAACCAAAGGGAATCAGAGCAAGCATCAATTTATGAAGTGGTTTAAACTTCAAATTAAATTTTCTCCAAATTATACAATGTATTATTACGTCAACATAAGAAAGTAGAAGTACAAAATAAAAAAACGGCAGAAAATTTCGAGGGTTTCAAGTCTTCAACAGTTGGCGGCTTCAGAGCGGGACTGTGGGACCACTTGTGATGGTTTGCGAAGCGAATGGCGACGGCGTGGCTTGGAGGAGAGCAGCGGCTGTGGGATATTTGTGCTTGGAAGTCGCACAAATCGAACGATATTTGATTTTTTTTAAAATATTAGGAACAGTTTTTAACTTTTTATTTTATAAATTTTATAGAGGGGAATTAATTAACAGCATGTAATATAATAAATTTATTAAATGAAAATAATAATTTTCAAAAACAACTACAGTATTATTAAATTATTTAAGGATTTAAAAAAATTAAATCAAAATGGTAAAGTAATAGAATCTGTGGGACTTTTTATTTAAATTAGATTTGGAAAAATATTGATAATACCCTTTTAAATTAAACAAGTAAGCTTAGGAGTAATTTTAATTTCTACTTTACCTTTTAATTTACAGAATTTAAAACTTGCCTCAATTTACAATTAAATTTACCCAAAAAGTAAATATATATAGAGTAGTAGTTGTGAATACTGAATACGCATCTGGCATTGCGGTGTCAACTCTGAATAACGGAGGGGATTAAATATGGAGTTCTTGGATGAAGACGCCAGGCCTCGATTCCTCTTCCAATCACGTCCTCAACCTTCATCATCTCCCGACAATGATGATAACACCAGCTTCAATAAACCCTCTAAAACCTTTCTCTTTATTTCCATTTCTATCTCTTTCCTTCTCTTCTTTATCTCCTTCTTCTTCCTCCAAAGCGAGCCCTTTAAATCCCTCATCTTATGGCTAATTCTCTCCCTCCTTGTTGGCCCTTTTGCCCCCCCGCAGATCACTGGTGGTCACACTCGCGTCGGTTACGGTCCAATCCTTGAGAACCCTGTTCAAGATCAGCAGATCGAACCTGAAATAAAGAAGAGACCAAATAAAAACCGATCTTCAATCAATAAGTCTCCGGATTTTCATGCTAGTCATGTTCCGGCTATTGAAAACGCAAATGGATCAAGTGGGTTTGTGCCAAAAGAAAAGAAAAGTCAAATTTTGGAACACAAGGGGAACGGGGTTGGTAGAAATGAGGAAGAGAAGGACTGGACTGAAGAGGATATTGAGATTTTGAAGAAACAGATGGTGAAGAACCCGGTTGGGAAGCCGAAGCGATGGGAAGTGATTGCTGAGGCTTTTAATGGGAGGCATAGAGTGGAGAGCGTGATAAAGAAAGCGAAAGAATTGGGAGAGAAAAAGATTGATGATAGTGATTCGTATGAGCAATTCCTGAAGAATCGGAAGGCATTAGATGTGAGAATGCAAGACAAAAATGAAGGGTTGGTGATGGAGAATGGTGAAGAAAGTAGGAAAGATGATAAAGAAAATGGTTGGAGTGCTGGAGAGGATATAGCATTGCTTAATGCATTGAAAGCCTTTCCTAAGGAAGCTCCAATGAGGTGGGAGAAGATTGCGGCTGCTGTGCCTGGCAGATCAAAGGCTGCTTGTATGAAGAGAGTTGCTGTATTGAAAAAGGAGTTTCGGAGCTCTAAAGCTGGTGCCGATAGCTAAGAGATTTGTGGTGTTTTCTTTGAGTTTTGAATTACAGAAGCCATCATTGAGGTAACTGATGGTTCATTACAATTTTTTTTTCTTTTATCAAATCAATATCATTACATGTACTGGATTAAGGATTGAAGTCCTTGATAGTTTTGTTGGTGACTTAAGAGACATAAAAGTAATTTGTAAAACAAATGTTTCAATATGTAATCCGGTTGGCATTTTTTTTTTTCAATAAGATTAAGCTTGCGGATGTGGTGATTTTGAATAGCTGGTTGATGAAATTTATTTGGTATTGATCTTTAGCTTATTATTTTCATCGTGTGGGAAACCATGAAAACTTCTTTGCTTTTGTGGGATTCATTTTGATTGTCTTTTATTTGTTCGACATTAAGAATGTTATTTGTTGTTGCGGCAATTTTCGTACCGTGCTTACATAATAGTGCTGAGACATGGAAAGGATAGTGCTAGATGTAAATAGAGGAGAAAGATTTTCTGGAAGGTTTGATCATTTGCAATGGAAATATTGGCTTTACCAATGAAATTTGAAATGTGATAGTGACAAGCAGACAGCCAAACAAAGGGATGGATTCAATTTACATAAATATGCATTGGGGTATATGGTGGGTTGTGGAATAACAGAGATGCCTCTGGCAAGTATTGCAAATAGGACCTATTAAAACAATCTGCTGGCTTTGATTTACTGCAGCTGTGATGGCAAAATTAATCATTAGAAGTTCAATCGGATTATTTGCAGATTTTAATCTTAATTATTAGTTGAAAAGCTTCTATACTTGCTTGCTGGCTCAATTTTTGTCATCTTCTCTTGAGAAGTGTTAGTTTTGTTTCATGTAGTTCTATGCACTGAGCTGTTAATTTTTTTGAGCTAAGTTTTAGATGTTTAGCCTTCTCCTAATGGTTTATGCTTAAGAGCTTGGGCACTGAAAATTTCTCTTTATGAGCTGATTAACCTTTGGCAAAGAAATAGTGTAGCATCTATGTTGTCTCATGATTCACCAGAAATGACACCTTATGGTTTTGATTTAGTTCTCTATCTGGCTCTTCGTACATGCCTATGCGAAAATTGTGGTAATTCGTAGTAGCAGATATTTATGAATTTGCTGAGTATTGCATAAATTGAGCATCCCCATGTGATTATAAAATAGCAAGCTAATAAAAGGGTATTTGATTAACTACATGGTTTTCTATCAAAACCCAATAACTGTATTGACCGCAAACAACTTTCTGAAGTTATATCTTAAAATGAGCATCAAGCTACTTGTGGTTATATAAGCTTTTGCATCATGAGTTACAGCTTGTAAGGTAATTATCATGGCTAAGCCAATACTGTTCAATTCTACTTGTCTGTTATGCTTTGAGCTGTTAACTGTTATGATTTCATTGTTCATCAACTGTGACAGAATATTGTTTAATGGGTCGGAATGCATTGAAGTGGGCATCCACATTGAATGTGAGATTTCTAACTCGAAATTTTCTAGTCTATAAGACAAATACCGCCAATCGACTACTGTTACACTGGGGTTAAACTAAACTCTTATTTTCACCAAATTAACCCCTGAAATACGGAAGGCCTTTTCTCTTAGCCATGGGTTTAGAACTGCAGAAGCTCATGTTTACTTCAACATCCTGATTTAATGAAGCTGTTTCTACCGAAGCCACGAGGAAACTCCATGGATACACAAACCTTTTCCGCACTCTATAAAAACGGTTCTAACCAAATATAACAGCGAATAATTGCGAAGTCGGCCCATGCCATTAAAATACAATGAAGCGTTTTCCATTCTCAATTATTATGTGTTTCACCATCCGCATTCATACGTGTCTCAAATCATATTCCATTTTGGCTTTGCAAAATACAATATTTGTAAAATACCACATCATACATCTAAATCATTAGGCGCATCCGCAACCGCAATGATCAGAGATGTGCAATCTGGAGCTCAGACTGGTCATGTCCAGTTAAAGAAAAAGGTCAGAAGCAATTATTGGGAGCTGCTGAAACCAAGAAATCGGTCCACAATTGCAGCTACAGAGTTAGCAAGGCTGTCTGCTGCTTCTTGTGTGGATGCCTCTGCATATACACGTATGACATCCTCTGTACCTGAAGGTCGTATGAAAGATCGGCCTTGATGATATTTTGCTGCATCATATATAAAATCCTCACTGTTACACTTTGCACAATCCCTTGAAAGATTGGGGAAACTTTACATTCTTTTACTTAAAAAGTTCCCATTACATGTATATATTCATGAATGAGCAAACATTACTGAACAATTAAGATCCGAAGTCTGAATGATATGTCATTACCAATTTCAGCATTAATAGCTTCTTGAACGCCAGGGGGGCTCACAACCACAGTTTCTGCATTTGCCGTAACACAAGCAGTTCTGTCCACCACTTTAACCTAAAAACCAAAGGGAATCAGAGCAAGCATCAATTTATGAAGTGGTTTAAACTTCAAATTAAATTTTCTCCAAATTATACAATGTATTATTACGTCAACATAAGAAAGTAGAAGTACAAAATAAAAAAATAAAAATAAAGCAAGTGGAAGTTAGTACCCCATCATATGCCAAAGAAAGAAAGAAAGCACACAGTCTCCAATAAAAGAACTCACATTTTTTTGAAAGGTTTATATTAGAGCACATATATTATAGTCCATTTAAGCTATTCATGATTTTTGGTCAATTCGTGATCTATGGTTTGTGATACAGCACAGGCCAGCGCTGCTAGTCTTCCCTTGGCCTGCAACTACCTTCAAGTTGAACCAAGCCAAACTAATTTTCTTGGTATCCCTCTCATCTTCTCCAAAAATGGAACTGCTCATCACTTAACACTTGTGCATTTCTAAGCATATGATGCAACAGAATCTCAAAAAGCTAGACCAGTTTCAGCACATTCCAAGAATGAAACAGGACTTGAGCAGCTTAAACATATAGCTAAGAGCACAGGAGAGGACAATGAGAAAGAACAGTGGATGACATACATAATACTACACAATGAATCTACAAATGAAAGAACCATTCACTAGTTAAAGCTCTTTCACCTTCAAAGATTCATCAGATCTACAAAGAGTTAATACCAACAGCAACAGGAGGGGGCAAAATAGAACCTAAGAATGTTCCACAAAATATGATCAAGGAAACTGACCTTAAGTTGCTTACTTGGTAGATCCTGATAGAGTGCATTCCATTTATGTATTGACCATCCCATGTGTCGCAATATAGCCTCCACCAAGAGCAAGCCACTCAAAGCATCTCCGACAGCTTGATTGATCAACTTACTGACTGCCAACAGTCTCAAAGCAGCCTTTTGGGCTTCTGAACCTGAAACAACAACCTAATAATTCAATAACATTGGTTGTTTGACAGTCATATCTGCACAAGGATACACTGATCACATCACAAAAAACCTTTAGATATGGAAGAAAGCTCATTATTTCTGGCCTCAAGCCAGCATAAGAACTGGTCTGAGAACAAGATGGTGCCATGGCCATTAGCCTCGAAATAGATCCCTATATCATACTGAGCAGCTTGCTCATGTAAGTATTTTACTCCTGTTGGTGTAAATACAACTTCCAGGCCCAACTGCTTGAGATAATCTGTGGCTGCGCCATTTGCATAAGCTGTCTGTACAACACCAAGACGAGCTTTATAATTATCTTTTCCTTTCATATCTCCCTCATCGAGAATACTTAACTGGTCCTTGATGAATACAGCAAACAAAGATAATATCTTGTCCCCATCAACAAGATCAATCTTGCTGCTACTATTTGATGGCACAATGAAATAGACAAGCCGATCAGCATCCCCATCCAGACTTGCACACCTGAAAAGCTAGATCCATCCATTCAGTTAGTCCCTCTTCCACCAATCAATCACACTCTACATCAAAGGGGTAGCATCAATTAAACAGAAAAAAGTTCCAAACTGGAAATGGTCCAGTTATCTAAATGAAAACCCAAAAAGTATTTACTTTCAGGAAAATCCCACATAATCCTCTGTTATCCATCCAAAACCGACTATTGTATAAACTACAGTGTGTGTCGATATATATATATATATATATATATATAGCTAGTTCCATGTGTATGACAAATATGAAATAGAAAGTCGTAACTGTAACTCTACACAAGAGGCAAGTAATCATATATCAACAGCCGGATCTCATTGCAGCAATTTAACTACAGAAATTAGGGCATGTAATCTGAGCACTTAAGAAACTCACTGTACGGTTAACAAATAAATTATAATCTCATATCATGGGATAGCTGACCTTATCCCAGCATGGATAGAACTAAATCCATGTGGAGCAACCCTGTCTTTCTGCACAAAATCAGCACCAACTCCTTCATTGAGTACACCTCCTCCTTTTCCATCATTATAAACCTCAATAACCAAACCATTCAGCTTTGTCTTTATAATTTCAAGTTTTTCTCCACCCACACCGTTAGCCCCATCCACCATCAATTTGTCCTCGCTCTCATTAATTTTACTTCCATCGGGTATCAAATCCATTAAGCAACTGACAAACAATGCAAAGACCTTTAATAAAAAATGAAAAATGAAAAAAAAAAACATTTTAAAAATGTAACGTCAAACAAACTTATTAATTACATCTCTATCTCAAACCAACCTGAATGAACTCAAAAGCTGATCAAAATAATCAGATTCAGTTGCTTTCAAGCCCTTATTTCTGGCACGAACCATCCAATGTAGTTGTGGAGTGGTCAAAATTCCCATGTCATGGGCCACTGCCCCCGATACCGAATTGATTCCCTTTCAATTGAATGCAAAACATATATCAACTATATAAAATTAAAACAATAAAACTAAAGAGCAAGGCTTTATGCACAAGTTTGCTAAAAGGGGGATCATTACTTGTTTAGCAACTTCAAGAAGAGATTCACCACTAGGCCTCGTGTCTCTTCCCAACAATATCTCTGCTGAATGTGTTCCATCAAAGGGGATATTTTCCTTCTTCACAAATTCTTCAATCAACTATTTAAAGCAAACAATGAATGTGAAGTAAGTTGTATGCAGTTCCCAATTAAGCAAAATCAAGAAGTTTACAATTGAAATTCAAATAAATGTAGGAAGTGTAAGTGTTTAACACTGACCGAAACGAGGGTTTCAGGATCACGAGCATTGGCGATGTGATCAGCGAAAGGTTCCCAGTCTTGAGAGAGCATTCCACCACTAGGATCAGCGATCTTGACGCCATTATCGGTGACTTTGTTGTGCGAAGCTGTGACCATCAAGCCGATCACTGATTGGGTCTTCAGCGATCTCAAAGCTGCCAATATTCCTACTCTGTGCACCGTTGATTGAAGGATAGAAGCGTCTGCTCTGAACCCGGCTGTACCGTATGATAGCTTCACTCCTGAAAAAAAGATAGAAAGAAAAAAAAATCGAAATGAGAGATTGTTAGACAATGAAACGGGGCGTCTTTTAGAGATGCAGTGAATGTGACCACCTGGAGAAGGAGGGAAGAGAGAGGCGGATTTGAGGAGCAGAGATCGTTGTTCTTCGTTCATGCTTCTGAGATTTTTTCTTTGAGCTCTGAGCTCTGTAGTCGCATACTCGCATGGCTGGCTGTGACATGTATATACCATGTAATGTTTTAGAGTAAAAATCACAACCCCACAGGTCTGGCAATTAACATCAACACCCTCCATTAATAACCTCGCTTTACCCCATTTAAGTTGACCAACACAACCCCAATGAGTTGACTTGACGATCAAGAAAGTTTGTTTATTTCCTTGAGTTTTTTTATTCAAATCTATCGCAATAATATTATGGCTTATCTTGTGACATGTATATGCCATGTAATGTTTTAGGATAAAAATTACCCACCTCCCCTCAAGTCTGGCAATTAACATCAACACCCTCCATCAATAACCTCCTTTTACCGACTAGTTAACCTAACCAATACAACCCCAATGGGTTGGCCTACTAGTTAAAGAGATTTGCTCTTTTTCTTGAGTTTCTAGATTCAAATCTACCATAACAATATTATGGCTTACTTATTCTTTTGGACTTATAAAGTATTTAATAGATCTCGATATTAGTGAAGGTATACACAAACTGGTTCAGACACCCCAGACACAAAAAAAAAGTTGACCAATACAATGTCAATAATACCCTTTCCAAGCTACGAACATAGGAATTTGATGGCGAAGTAGTTGAAAGTATGTGTATTTATTATCAAGATAGGGGTATTGTTGGTTTTTTTTCCTCAATCTCAAGGTTACCTAAGATTTAACGATTTCAAAAACAAGGTAAAAAGTGCGAGAAAGGAGAATGAGAATTGGAAATTTTTATCATCGTAATAATAAAATGACATGAATAACCTTTCACTATAGGTGTAGTTTGTAATTTCAGCAAAACCGCCAATCCCTCAGCCTCTAGTCTTATCCCATTAAAATAGAAAAACAACAATCATTTTTCATAAACCCTAAAACCACTGAAACTGAACCATGGGTCTTCTCTCTTGGTTCACGGGCAACCCAAAGCCAAAGTCCCAACAATCCGGATCTTCCAAATCAACAAACGACTCGAAATCCGAAATCCCCGCTGCCCCGGGTATGAACGGTGCCGTTGAAGTGCCCCGACCGGCTGAGAGCGTGACGGTATTCGAGTTCGGGTCGATTGCTGCTTCAGCTGATAAGGTAACTGTGGCTGGGTACTGCCCCGTCTCTGACGATCTGGAGCCTTGCCGTTGGCAGATCCTGCCGGCCAGTGAAGCCGAAGCGCCCCAGTTCCGTGTGGTATTTTGATGAGATAAGAGAAAATTTGCTTGTAAGAAACAGAATTAGAAGAATGAATATAATTCTGTTAGAATTATTGTTGGTCTTTTGCCCGTCTTTATTTAATTGAAGTTAGTTTTAGATTATTTTGATCTTAGTCTCCCGCAGATGATAAATTGTGATATAATTGTGGGTTTAACCTTCGGATTTGATGATGATTAGGATTAGGGCGGATGACGATAATTGTGAGACCATCTTCATTTTTGGTGTATTTCATTATTCTCCACTTTATTTCACACCATTTTAGTGTTTTGGCGTTGGGTTGGAGATGCTCTGACAAGGCATCTCGATGTACATGGCCTGGCACATTAACACGTAGGAAAAATCACCGCACGATAACAAAATTAAGCAATGGGAAATAAGAAAATCAATTTGCTGGTTTGCAGCATTAGTGTTTTGTCTGTAAATAATGCATTGACTACAAATATAATCTTCACATAGCATTTTTCATCTGAGAAAACTTGAGGCATGCAATATGTCTTCTGGAGCTGAAAATCATCTATTTAGATGAGATATTGTAAAGAATGTTTCTAAATGTATTTATTATATTTTCACCATATTGTCGAAGATCAAAAAGTCACTATTTCTACTGCTGTAATTAACACCTCCTCACATTCTACTTCCTCCGCAGCATATTTATCTTCCTCCTCGCTTCTTCGTCTCTTAACATATACCTTTGGACTTTCTCTTCCTTCTGCAGCCACTTCCATTTCAAAACCCATCTGCTCCATTCTTCCGTTAGCACATTCCTTCTCCGGTGCTCCTGTGCATTGTAATACTTTGATCCATCCCGGTCCTGTTCCTTTTATTTCTTGCTGTACTTCTTCAGGTTTTTCTTTATCTCTTCCTGTTTCTCTGCACTCAGCAACAGGGGTGGCCTTGGGCGCCATGAAAACTACATACATGGAAACTTATATTTATTCAAACTTAGTGTGATTAATTCCGAAAAACAAAACAAAACAAAACAAAACACTGCTTTAATAACAGTTCCTTCAAGAAAGCTGTTCAATGATGATAAAGAATTCCTTGGAATTTAAAGTTTTATCTAACACATAGGGTGTTGAATGGTTGCAATTTAGTGGTGAGATGTTGGACCTTCAGAGGATCGGCAAAAACACCCATATTGCGTAGTCGCCTCTCCAAATTGGTAGAAATTGTCAAGGCATGTCTGTTATCTGTAAAAGAGGAAGCTTAGAGCTTTTACTAAGGATTAAAAAAGTTTTAAGTCCGTATCTTAACCTGAACACTTTTTTTTTTTTTTGTTTTTTTTTAAAGTATGCAAATTGACTGCCTCGTGGCTAGTATGCATAGGCTGGAAGCACGGTCAAATGTCAATTGCATCTGTGAAGATTGTTTAACAACCAATAGTACCTGTGATAAATCATCCATGGGCATGTAGTATGGTAGCTTGCCATAAAAGGTCCATATGTTGAAGCCATTCTCTATTGCATCCACTGCAGTAACAGAAGTCGCCACATACCTATGAAGGCAAGTAAAATTATACGGAAATTAAAATTTTATAAGAATTGTTGTTCAATATTTAAAATTTTGGATCAGCATTTATGTGTAGAAATTTACCGTCCAGTAGAATCCCATTCGATATTTGTCAACATGTAATGTCCAGTCATAGTTCTGGTCTGAATGTCATCAACATCATAAAATTCCAGTTGTCCACTGGAACCACTCAATTCTGGGAGGACAATGAAACGTCCAGCTGGTGATCAGCAAAGAGCATTAGCTCGTCTTCCAGTAAGATTTGAGAGCTTTGTGACAATTCCTTGATTAAAAGTATTCACCATAGAGTAGAAGCTGATATCAGGCCTCACGTTATCCCCGTGAAGAACCGCAAACCTTCGACCCTTAGGTTCCCAAGCAAACATGTAAATCTTTTTGTTCTTGTTCTCGTTTTCCAACTCTAGAGCCTCAACTGGGATGTCTCGTTCTTTCATACGGAAAAGCTCTAAACCAGAATAAGTGGTTTTCTTTGTTTTTGAATACCTTTCAACATGATGCAAGTAACCACATTGCTTTGAAAGTACATTTTGCAATTACTAACATTGAACAGACTTTTCTGCCTTAACTCTTCTTTGCCTGGAATTTTAACGAGACTCACCTGTCAATCGAGAAAGTAACAGAAGTAAGATTCAACCATAAAAGGCACTTCTATGTAATCGTTGTTCTCACTCTAGCAGTTGATTCCCAAACTTTAGTTCTGAAACAAAAAGTGCAATGACAGGTCAGCCGGAGACCAACTAAAATCTTGACGTCGTCAATTTGTAGATATTTCTTGAAAGAATAGCTTTGTACTTCATAAACATGGATTGCATTCTTCCCAATCAAAGCAAAATCTTGTCATCTTGTCATTGCTCCATCTGATCTAATTACTTTTGTCGAAGCATCCCAACTAGTTCCTCACCCCACCAGCCCTAGTACAGGGCTTTCTCTCAAGAAGAAGTGTTCGCCTTGCAGCGCAAATAGCTAAGTCCCAAACGAGATGCTGGAGCGGGCTAAAGGTTACAGTGGTTGCTGGGTAATTCCTCAATGAAATCACTTAAAAAAGAAGGGCACTTTCTGACTATGAACGGAAATATGACCTAGTCAGAAATGGTGGCGAAACCGCAATTCTACATTTACAGATAGGCCTGAGAAAGTTTGAATCTTCGGTAAAAAAACCCCTCTTGGAAGGCGCCTACTGAAGTACGTATGTGAGTCGAAAGTAGGGCTGGTTGGGGTGGGGCTGGGGTCAGCTCACTTCAACAGGAAAAGAAAAATCCATTCTCATTCCTAGGTCTAGAACCTTGTCAGAAGGAAGGACACATCGGGAATCAATGACTTTTTCAAGACCCGAAGGTACGCACAAGCCTAAGAGAGAGTGTAGGGGGTGCTGGTTCCTTCATATTTTAGCAAAGTTCCTGCGGCTCGAGCCAGCTTTGCGCCTTGACCTGGATGACATTCACTATCATGTACCCATGTTACTATACGTAATCGGCTAATGGTATGCAATTTCCTATTTGACTCTTGGCCCAGTTATTTAGGTGGTATCCCGAGATTGAAGAGATCGAATTCCTCCTGGGAACACACGAAACAAAGATATGAACTAGGTAAATAGAAATGGAAAAGAGATGTTTCCATTCATCAAAATGAAGCTTTTTCTACATCCATATGATCTACTAAAGTAGATCGGTATGCCCATAAATGAAAGCAGATCTTGGTCCATGGAGTCCCAAGAAGGTAGAACTCCAACCTGTCCGATGCTTCTTCGGCCAAATACGAACACAAGTGGGACCGCACTATGAGCAAGCTGTGCGAAAAACCGCTTCTTTTTTCGGTTCCGCAACAACTTGGGCGAAATGGGGTTCTACCGGAGAAACCATGGATTTTTTAGTTTTCGCCATTGGTTATTGGTCGAGCCACTGGAATGGAATGAGAAAGTAGTTTCGCCTATAGACCATACCCCATGACTAGACCTATTAACGTTATGCTTTTAAACCAACGGGATAATAATTTCTAGAGGTTATACTGCTTTCAGTCAAAGTTCATGTCTTATGTGAATATATGATGCATTTCAGTTACTTTCTTATTGCACTAAAAATCTCTCTCTTTTTCCTAGGGAATGTTCTAACTTGGTAGAGGACCAAACGGATATGAAGAAAGCTCTTCCCTCGAGTACAATCTTGACATCGGGCTCAGTGACGAGGTTTCCAGAACTCGAGACCGAGAACATACTGAGAATAATTTGCAAAAGAAATCTTGGACATGGTTGAAAGGCATGGAACCACCCACGCCCACATAGAGCAGGCCAGGGCAGTTAATATTGGGACAGATGAGACCCCTAGGGAAGTGAAAATCGGCGAGAGTTATCTGATTAACAGGGCAAAGCTATCACCAATCTTCTCAGAGGTATCAAGACATCTTTGCGTGGTCTTACCAACAAGGAATAGACACAGAAAGAGTAGAGCATTATCTCCCCGGTTGCAAGCGGTCAAGCAGAAGTGAAGAAAGCTCAAGCCCACATGGGCCCGGAACGAAGTCATGACGCAGTGGGAAGCAGGTTTAAGGAAGGCAAGAAAAATGGTACCTTTTCCTTTGATTGCCAGAAACCACACGATCAGCATATGGGAAAATCAAGTATGAAAAGAGGCGACGTCACTTATTAGCAGAAATATATATCTTTATTGGCGGGCTCAGCGTCGAATGATGATTAGGAAGTCTATAGCTAATGGGCAAGATTCCTTGTAAAATACAGCAAAGTAATAAAAGTAAAACCTAATAAGAGGCCATGGTACACTAGATATGTCCTCCATCTCCACAAATTCCAAAGTCCTTTGCACTTCCTTTGAAGCTTTTCTTTAGTTTTCCAGTTCTCACGTTAAAAACATTCAACAAAACACTCTGTAGAATGAAAATTCAAGACTGAAATGTATGATGGCTACTTCACTTGATCAACATAATCGATCGAAGAGTAAATCTTAGAGCAAGGATCTCACATATTCATCTAGAGGAGTTACAGGTTCATGACAACTGTATGTAACCAAATATTTCTCTGCTGCAGAGAAAGCTATGAGCTTAACCTAAAATTAACCCATCACGGAAAAACTGTGGGTAAAAGGAATGAAAAATTTTCTATATGAGTAAAGAAGAAGAAAACAAAAGAACCAAAAATGGAAGAACCTCAGGATGAGCACAATGAGCAAGACATTCGAAGGTAGTTGCACCTCCCCATAAAGTAACGCCCTGCTTATTTACTGCGGCTAAGTATGTTCCAAGTGGTGACCACCGTGTCCGTGCATAACCTTCAATCCTTTCCTGAAAAAAAATATCGTCATAATTTTACCCTGATAGTATTGATTGCGATAATAGCAATTATGGTCGGGATATTTGAGTAATTGTATCACAATAGATTTTCATGAACCAGTAAACAACATCCCAGAAAATTCACGAAAATTGTGAGTGGTAAGAAATGTATTAATACTTAATAGTTTTAATCCAAGAAGAATCATTAAATCACAATGGTGCCCATGTATTATGGCGATTCGTCCGGAGACAATATCTCATTCAGTCTACTTTAAATTGAAATGCATTTTTGAGAACCGTTTCAAACTTCAAAATTGGCATACGTGGGACCTTCTATGTTTCGAAATTAAGGTGTTATAGTTGTATCCAGCCTTGTTGAAACTGACAAAGAATCTGTAGTAGCTATGGTTTGGGTTTGTTTCCTTTAGTGTGATTTATGCTTGTGCTTTCTTATGCGCTTTGAAAAGCACATAGAACATCAATCAAAATAATTATGTGGAGCCACTTACATGAAGATGGTGAACAACCTCAGGCCTCAGCTGTATTGGATCATTCCAAGAAATCTCTAAATCAAATCCAGCAAGAATAAGAAACTGATCTCGGCCTTTATCATCGGTCAACCGTTTTTGTAGATTTTCCTTCAACAAACCACACACATATAAATCCATGCCAAAAAAACACTCCATATGAAGAGAAAAAGTTTATACCTTGGCTATGGGATGCAGAAGAAGACTCTCCCAAGGGTGTACCAAAAGGAACTGTATTGTTTATATCTAAGGTTTTTTGATAACATTGTGTGCATTTCAATCCTATCCAACGAAATGACTAGAGTATTGGACATCAGGACTCAAGTTCCTATATGAGTATCTGTAAATGACCTTAATGCTGATAAGGATTGAACCTGCCCCAGGGCCCAGCTTATGGAGGAATGTGAACGTTAACTGATTTATATAGTGTACAAAGTCGACCTAATTTTTATTTATTTATCTTTAACCTTCTCAATCATACTTGTTTGCTCTTCTCGACTTGATGATGGCATAACAAAACATGACTAAGATGAGTATTGTGTGAGACAAATTAGGAAAATACATGACACGGACACCAGAGGGAGTTTCAGGTTCTGGCTTCTCTCCCAACGCATTTACTGGAAAAAGGTTTGGCATGCATTTATACTATATAAAAAATTAGTTAGAAGTGTAACCACTCAATAATCAAAGCCGAGAAGAAATTTTTTGTTTAAATAAAAAAGGGTGTTAGTGCTGATGCAATTATATTTGAAATGGAGAAAACTAATTGGCATATATAGTTAATTAAGTAATTACCCCACAAACACACTGTTCCTTTTCCGGTGGAGTCCACTCATCTGCAACATTCATAATTCTGTCGAACTCATTGAATAACGTCACTGAAAATTTGTATCGGCCATCCTTACCCATTATGAGTCCATTTCCATTCTGCTTAGCTAGCTCCGCTTCCTAAAATGACAGCATAATTCCCCCCCCCCCAAAAAAAAACAGCATGAGCCTGCAGTCACATATTCTTAGAACACAATTTATGTCATTATCCATTGATCAGCTGACTTGAAAGCAAATATGCCAAATTATTAGACTATTGGGTGCCAAACTGCAACCTCCACTGTATCGCAAGCATATTCTATTCAATAAAACCGATGTACTCTCTCTTCTGTGATTCAACCATTCTCTACCTGTCCATGTTAAATTACTCTATGCATTCCTCCAAAAACTAACTACAGACAAGTTTCTTCAAATACACTTGATCGCAGAATCATCATATAAACTACAAAATGAGTTCAATGAAGTAGCCACTGATCAAATCCCAAAACAATATCAGACTCATTACTCTGACACAGAGCTAAATCAAACTGAGATATTTTTAGACCCATTTTTAGTATCATATTTTAAGTAAAAACATTAGTTTTTCAAAATGTAACAATTTGCCATAAAATTTAGAACACCAAAACAAATTCCATCACATTACAAAACTAGTTTGACAAAAACTTAAAGCATTTCAGTTGATAAAATTAGTTTGAGATTTTAAAATTGGCAGAAAAAGGATTAGAGAAAATTTCATTATATCTAAAAGTGTTAAGAGAAGTTATTACTCTACAACAAGAAGCCACATTGACCGCAACCTCAAGTCATATTAACTAATAAATTTTAATTTGGTAGTCTACCATTTCAAAACAACAATAAAGTATTCAACAATAAAATTGAATTCTCTTTAACTAAATTATATGGTTTTGTTTCTCAAAATTCCTGATAAGGTAACCATCAATATAGTAACAAGATTCATACCTGAGGAGTATCATATTCTATGAAACAATAACCTAAAGTCTGTCCAGTATTGGAATCCACAGGCATGAAAAATATATCCTTAAACATGTCCTCTTTTAGCACACCAAATCTGCCGAAGATTTTGCGAACCGCGCTACTCAGCTTCTCGAACTTCTCCAGCACAACTAACGGTAAATTATCCACAATAATCAAATTTCCGAGATCATCTTCTTCTTCTCCCGGCAACATAATTTCATCATCATTTGATATATCATCATCATCATCATCACTGAAGAAAAAAATGCATAACAATAATTACACACATCTTAATTATAAGTTACATTTTGTATTACAAATGTGAGGTTTAATATTACGCAAATCTGCCAGACATCTACATCGCGAGTACAAAAGATACAGTTCAAACAATTACCAGTTGTGATAATTTGAGGATTTACTAATTGTGTGGAGCGTATACCTTTGAAATTGTGAGGAATATGAGTACTGTAGTGACTAGCTTGTTGTTGAAGAAACAACTCTATGGCGAGTTGTTCTGCTTGTGCTTCTATTTCAGTCAATTCTACTTTGTGCTCCATACTTGCTGTTGATTTAGGAAAGATAGAAATATATTTATAGCAGAAGCAAAGATAAAATGCGGGTAAGAGAGGAGAGATTCTGAGAGGAAAGACCAACGTGTTATGCTTGCGGACCAAGTTTCCGAATCAACGCGTGCTGATATTTGTAACAACTATATAACATCCGAGGTTAGTCAAACTAAATAAATATTAATTAAATTAAAAATAAATGCAAAATCTGACTTCCGTTGTTATTAATGCAAATTATTTTGTAATGCTTACAGTTCCCATAAGCTTGCTTTGTCTTAACAATTAATGAAGCTAAAATTTAATTTGAACTATTTAAAAATACCAGAAAATAATTATCTATAATAATATGAAAAATTACCCATCTAGAACTTGCAGAATTGTTATTTAAGTATTAATTTTGAATTTTTTGTCCTAATATAAGTTTAACACTGCGTTTTGCATAAATTTTATTGAATAAAGAAGACTTTGACGAATTTGTGATACAAATAACGCAGATATTTGGGACATTTGTCCATAGTTCTCCAAAGGAACTCAAAAACACCTCAGGTCTACAACAAAATTCACCATAAAACAAACAAATTGAAGAATAAATAATCTCAATATACAGTCCACCCCAATTGAATTCTAATCAAACTTAAAAGGCGACGTAAGATTCATCAATTGATCACTCAGAATGGCCTTCTATAATTCTGAAATCAGTGTTCTCTTCAAAGAATTTGTTCAAAAACATCGCCAAAACATCTGAGGCACTAGACAAAGAATCTCACTCATTAAATGTAATTTTTTTTTTTTTTAATCTATCAACACAAAGATGGGAAGTAAGGCTCACAAAAGCAAGAAAAGGAATCACATAATGGACTAACATTGACACTTTTATACAACAATGAAGTAAGAACCCCAATCAACAATCTCAGAGGATACTATAGTCATCATCTTCACCCACGCGAATGTAACACATAATGGCTACTACAAATATGAAGAACGATGATAACTCCATCAGTAGTGCTCCCCATCCAATAACCCCTGCATGCTTTAAGATGGCCGGTATTGCAATGCTTCCAACTGCTGAAGCTCCAGTCAAAAACTTGGTTGCATTGACCCAGCTGTTACATTATTTGTTAAAATGGAACTGAATTAGATGATTGTTTCAATGCTCAGCCTCAAGAATATTGATAAAATGTTTACTGTGTAATGTTGTTCAAGGAAAAAGGACAAACCTGTTATCAGATTCAGAAATTAAAGAAGAACCATCAGAACCCGCAAAGAAAAGCAGAGGCATGGGAAGAAGCACATACATTATTACTGCAAGGCGCAATGCGGCAATATTTCAATTAGAATGCATCTTCAAGTATATGATCCAAATATCACTATAATGTTGTTTTAGTCGTCAAATAAAACTTATTTATGAGAATCCCATACCTCCATTTCTTCATACAGAGAAATCCTAATATTACTAGCAGATCAACCCATGGAAAAATTAAAACAAATAAATGAATGCAAAGCATGTTCTCCACTAAATAGTAATCCATATGTACACATGACACCAGCAAACTAGCCAACAATAGAGATTTACGTAAACGTGAGTACATGTGTCTGCCCCCACAATTACTTTAATTCAAATCTTGAGAATATAACCTGTGTTAAAGGGTCAAAGATGATTGCATTCTCAAGTTGAAACAGTTTCATCTCCAAAATCAAATGAAAAAAAAAAATCAGGAAATACTATGCGAACTGTCCACCTCAAGACATTGGAGATTCTCAAACATGTATAGAAATAGAAAATATACCTCTAATTTCATGAAACCAGCTGTCTGTATCTTATCCTTTAATATCGATGTCTATGAAAGTAATAAGCTTCAAGTTATATTATTCATTAAAATGTCTAAATGAGTGAAAAACCACAAAACAAATGAAGAATCTAATGTAGATTCAAATTTTGCCTGATTCAAGCTATGTATGGACAAATGGTCATGCATCTAAGTATAAAGAGTATTATAATCCTTTTTTCACTTAAAGATATTATATATGATTCTTCTGTTCTATTTATGGATTCCCATTTAGCCAATGAACTTAAACGTATCAGAACTGCACTTCAGTTTTATATAAGGACATCTTGCTAGATTACTAATAATCTTAGTATAAAGAAATACCACAGGTAAAGATAAAAAGACTATGAACTTCCAAAGTTACCAAGTATTCAGATACTTTCTTTGAAAAAAAACTCATAAAAACGCTGATTAGCAAATGTTAATGACACTTACCAGTAAGCATTGGCCACCAATTATTGTACAGAGCACATGCCTGCCACATCAAATGGTACAGAAAGTAAATGGCTAGGCCATAAAATATTTGTCATACTGAATCATCTGACTAAACTAAAGAAGATTAATAATAAAAAGTACCACTGACCAATATTTGCAATACAATTCCTCCAGAGACTAAAATGGCCAACGAAGCAAGTTTCCCAGTGTGCAGGCAAGCACGCATATAACCTGGTAAATCAGCCATCGGCGTACTTGCCTCACAGCATATACAGGAACGGCTGAAACAAATAAGTTATCAATACTAATATACACAAAGTAGGTCTTTCGGGCATAAAGAAAAATAAAATTGAATAACCAGTTGAGACAAATATAGTCATATATAGATAACCATAGGAAAATAAAGACTGTATCAGTCCTGTCAATGTCAAATAAACCAAAAAATTGGGAAAATGAAGATTTCTTAAATTGCCATGACGCAAGGCGTGGTGCAAAACTGCTTATGCATAGCATGATGCAAGTGAGCTAACAGAAGCAGCTATATGCCAAACTGCTGAACCTATAAGATGGTATATACTAATCAAACTAACTTTAACTAATTACTGAAAACTCCAGATTCCAGATTAATCAAAAAAAATTCCTTGTAAAGTCAAAACAAATTATCAAGATACACGCATTTGATCCTTTCTAGAAGTCACTTTCATTACCACCTTCATAAGTCATAATACCAATCTATCAGCAAGCATGTCTGCATACATTATAAGACATAAAGAATTGTTATAATGGCTATTATTGCCCAAATTATATCAGGTAACTATAGCAGTTTTTGCTTTCTCTTACGGGTGGCACTTGGTGTGTTTTAAATGGAGACTCAAGAAAAGTATCACAATAGAGATTGTTTTCCATAGTTTACATCCTTAGTGTCCTCATCTTTCTCTTCAGCCGTTGTGCTCTGCACGCACCTCATCCTTCCTTTTCATGTCCTCTAAAACTGAGTTGAAACATAATGTGGAGATAATGGTGGCAGTTTGTTCTTGGTTTATACTTGGCGCCACCATGTCCCATAGAAAATTACAGTCTAAACTCGAGCAACCTTCGCTTCTTGTCCCTAACAGATATTATTCTCACCCAACTCAAACATAATTGTCTTAAACTTCGTTTCTAAAATTGGGTAGATCAATCAGCGTCTCCCAATTTAGCGATAAACAGAAATGGCAAGTTGAAAAAAAAATGTAACATATAGGTCGGACAATTTCTCTCAGAATCCGGTGACAGTAATAGTTGAGAAAATGTCAGATCTTAATTGATTTGAAATTTTGGTCTGAATAATAAGTATTAGAATTATTCTAATTACAATCCACAAACAAGGAAATGAGAGAGAGAGAGAGTACCTGACTTTAGAATCTCTTCTCGAGGGTTCCGATTACAGAAATTGAAGATTGTATGGTGTTCCCATGGAATCTACCAGACATGTACGCGCTTTTCTTCGTAACAGCCTCACAGTCACAGCTACTTAAAACAAAATTACATTGATATCTTTTATTTATTATAATAATTCACTAGAGACAGAGAGTAATTTAATTGTAAATGGTGTGGGTGAGGTACGTGATAGTCAATGGATCGACATGCTGTTGAATGCTTATTTATTATCTGGAGGTTGACTTTCTGTTGTTTAGATATGGCGGTGGATGATGAATTTAGACATTACTAATAGTGTATAAAATAAGATCACCGATACCGTATTCTTTATCCAAATTTCGACATAAAATTTGCGATTAAATGCTTTGAAAATTGAGACATTGATTTTGTTTTTGAAAAATTAACATAAACTAATTCAATTATTTGAGTTTATTTTGTACAAAATGTCAAGGAAATTTTTCATATTTCATATTATAATTTGTTTTAAGTTTTGGAAGGTCATTAGTCCTCAAAATAGATGGCAAAAAATGTCTAGTCTATTTACATATTATTGTAGTTATTAATTATCAATTATGGTTTAATAAACTATAAAACCGGGACTTAAGCAGTTAAGTTTCTTTCATCTAATGTTATATTATTTATATATGGAATAATAATAATTAAAAAAAATATACTTGTAAATTATTTAGACAATACTGTTAGCAAAAGATAATAAATTAATGAAAAAAATGGATCAAATTATAATAATTATTCAAATTGAATAAATAGTTTGGTAACATGAAATTATTATTATTAAAAGAGGATATGAGTTTCAGTTCTCGTTCTTTTTTATTGCTAATGGGATATTTATTAAAATTTTATCTCATTGGTAATTTTAGGTTTTAAAAAATTAATTTAGATACATATAAATTAGTTTGGATATCTTCTATCATTAAAAAAGGATTTATTATTATTATCGTTATGAGTTATGAGAAGATACAATACTATATTTAGAAATCTTACAAAATTTTTATCAGGACTCTGATATGGTAACTCGTATCTAAGATCAATTGTGGACTGTGATTGGAAGACAAAATTGGTAAAATTGGATTGTATTGCAAACTTTATTATACCAGGAGGAACAAACAAGGATCGAAGTTTCTCGCATTTTCAAATAAGATATAAAAGATGTGTTTTTCATTTCCAAAGTATTTGAAAACAGCATTCCCGGAACTTCCTTCACAGCAGAACCGAGCCTAACAGAATGATACAGAAACAGTAGCATCTTTCCTCAGAGTTGCTCACAACTACTGCTTCACTTTGCATCCAAATCTAAATTCGGGAACAAAAAGCTGCTTTTTTTTTTTTTTTTTTAGTGTTTTGTTTAAATCTTTCATAGATCAATGTCTTCGACAAGAAAGAAGCGCCCAAAACCAAAATCCGATTCATCTTCAACCTCTTCTTCTTCAGTTAGCTGGGTGATTGAACCGCCACAAAGCTTATTTCCATCGAAGCGAGAGTTTTTGAGGCTCGTAGCCGTACTCGCTATCGCATCTTCAGTCGCTGTGACCTGCAATTACTTTAGTAACCTTTTTAACCCCACACAAAGCCCTTTCTGCGATTCCAACTTAATAGACTCCCCAGATTCTCTTACAGGTTAGTCAAATTTTGTTTTGTTCGAGGACATTTATTTGTGTTTTGTTTGTATCGTTTGTTATTGAGATGGTACCTCATGCTGTAAAACGTGAATATGTGATTAGTCTGGAATTAAGGCTTTGTTGAGTTGATCTAATTGTTCAATTTTTGAATGAGAATTATTGCATCAAGATATATACTCTCTAATGCTGAGCATTATGTTTCAAAGTGACGCTTATTACCTGTACTAATGATCCTTTTGATGAATGCACGCGGTTGCAGATAATTGTGAGCCCTGTCCAAGTAATGGGGAGTGTTATCAAGGCAAATTGGAATGTCTTCATGGCTATAGAAAGCATGGGAAGTTGTGTGTAGAAGATGGAGATATAAATGAAACAGCTAAGAAACTCGTGTGTTCTAAGAATCTTTCTCATTCTGCTTGTTCTGGTATTAGCAGAGGATGGTATGATGTGCTTCCCAATATCTTGTATATATTTTTCTAATTGGCTTTTCATATGTGATGGAAGTGTAGGCTGAGTGGGTGGAGAATAGTATATGTAAACCGTATGCTCAACTTTTGTGCGATGGAACTGGAGCAATCTGGGTTTGTTACCTTTGCTACTTTGTAGATTTTATGACAATTATTTCAGTATGCATTTAATAATGAATGAAAACACTCTTGGGCTGTGTGTTGCTGATATCTGTTGTTCTGATTATATGCCATTTTTAGGTTCAAGAGGACGAAATATGGAATGATTTAGATGGACACAAGTTGATGGAGAACTTCAGGTCAGACAACACTACTTACTTATATGCAAAGAAAAGGACAATGGAGAATTTTGGTAGATTTCTCGAGTCGAGGACGAATTCTTATGGGTATGCTATGCTATTCCACCTTAAGTTTTGATTTCTATTAATGAAGCATTGGGATGCTATAAAACAGATGCTTTACAATTTTCAGTTTTCCTGTCTTTTTTTTCTGTGTTAGGGTCAAAGAGTTGAAGTGTCCAGACTTGCTAACAGAACAATACAAACCATTCTCTTGTCGCATACGTCAATGGGTCTCCCGGCATGCTCTAATTATTGTGCCTGTTTGTGCATTGGTACTCCATTTTAAAAGGAAACCTTAGAGTTCTTTAGATTTAGTACAACCTGTTGAAGCTTGTTGACTTTATTAAGATATACAGCTCATGGCATGCTCATTGTTACTTTGGAAAGTCCATCGAAGACGATATTTATCAATCAGAGTTGAAGAGCTTTACCATCAGGTACATAGAGCCATGTGTTTTTAATTGTCACAGTCCATGGTTTCCTTGATTTTAGTTTACAATTTTGTTATTGGTTAGAAGTTTGGTTCTCATTTAATGATCAGTCCTATAGTTGATTTAATATGGTGAGAACAAACTGTTATCAATTGGATGCCCCCATGAATGAAATGAATTGGGTGAAGATTATTGAATGAGAGCCTCCTTGTTTTAAGATAGGAGAACCTGTGAAATGGAAAATAGGGAATAGATAAACTTAGAAGAAAGAAAGGGAAGCATAAGATAAAACTAATTACTAATTTATCTCATTTTGAATTGATTGAAAATTTGCCAATTTGATAGGTTTGTGAGATACTTGAAGAGAGTGCTTTGATGTCAAAGGGTGCAAATGGTGAATGTGAACCATGGGTAGTTGCCTCACGACTGCGAGATCATCTTCTTTTGCCCAAGGAAAGGAAGGACCCTGTGCTTTGGAAGAAGGTATTCTTGTATGTCTTTTGATCTGGTTATCATGATCACAGACTTATCTGTTTAATTTTTGGGTTGATAATAATGATCCATGATTGTTTTCATAAACATATCCCAGTGGACTAATTGTCTGCATTAATTTTTTTGAGTGAAGCTCTAATAATATTTAAAATAGCATGTGGTACTATTACACTTGTGTGGGATGAGGAAGTCGGTTTCCTGTTAATGCATTCTCATAGTGTCGAAAACATCTTGTTTTATGATACAAACCCCTCTCAACCTTACGGTTCCAGCAATCAACACATGCACACACAACAATTCAAACAATTCCACAGATANTTTTCATTTCCAAAGTATTTGAAAACAGCATTCCCGGAACTTCCTTCACAGCAGAACCGAGCCTAACAGAATGATACAGAAACAGTAGCATCTTTCCTCAGAGTTGCTCACAACTACTGCTTCACTTTGCATCCAAATCTAAATTCGGGAACAAAAAGCTGCTTTTTTTTTTTTTTTTTTAGTGTTTTGTTTAAATCTTTCATAGATCAATGTCTTCGACAAGAAAGAAGCGCCCAAAACCAAAATCCGATTCATCTTCAACCTCTTCTTCTTCAGTTAGCTGGGTGATTGAACCGCCACAAAGCTTATTTCCATCGAAGCGAGAGTTTTTGAGGCTCGTAGCCGTACTCGCTATCGCATCTTCAGTCGCTGTGACCTGCAATTACTTTAGTAACCTTTTTAACCCCACACAAAGCCCTTTCTGCGATTCCAACTTAATAGACTCCCCAGATTCTCTTACAGGTTAGTCAAATTTTGTTTTGTTCGAGGACATTTATTTGTGTTTTGTTTGTATCGTTTGTTATTGAGATGGTACCTCATGCTGTAAAACGTGAATATGTGATTAGTCTGGAACTTAGGCTTTGTTGAGTTGATCTAATTGTTCAATTTTTGAATGAGAATTATTGCATCAAGATATATACTCGCTAATGCTGAGCATTATGTTTCAAAGTGACGCTTATTACCTGTACTAATGATCCTTTTGATGAATGCGCGCGGTTGCAGATAATTGTGAGCCCTGTCCAAGTAATGGGGAGTGTTATCAAGGCAAATTGGAATGTCTTCATGGCTATAGAAAGCATGGGAAGTTGTGTGTAGAAGATGGAGATATAAATGAAACAGCTAAGAAACTCGTGTGTTCTAAGAATCTTTCTCATTCTGCTTGTTCTGGTATTAGCAGAGGATGGTATGATGTGCTTCCCAATATCTTGTATATATTTTTCTAATTGGCTTTTCATATGTGATGGAAGTGTAGGCTGAGTGGGTGGAGAATAGTATATGTAAACCGTATGCTGAACTTTTGTGCGATGGAACTGGAGCAATCTGGGTTTGTTACCTTTGCTACTTTGTAGATTTTATGACAATTATTTCAGTATGCATTTAATAATGAATGAAAACACTCTTGGGCTGTGTGTTGCTGATGTCTGTTGTTCTGATTATATGCCATTTTTAGGTTCAAGAGGACGAAATATGGAATGATTTAGATGGACACAAGTTGATGGAGAACTTCAGGTCAGACAACACTACTTACTTATATGCAAAGAAAAGGACAATGGAGAATTTTGGTAGATTTCTCGAGTCGAGGACGAATTCTTATGGGTATGCTATGCTATTCCACCTTAAGTTTTGATTTCTATTAATGAAGCATTGGGATGCTATAAAACAGATGCTTTACAATTTTCAGTTTTCCTGTCTTTTTTTTCTGTGTTAGGGTCAAAGAGTTGAAGTGTCCAGACTTGCTAGCAGAACAATACAAACCGTTCTCTTGTCGCATACGTCAATGGGTCTCCCGGCATGCTCTAATTATTGTGCCTGTTTGTGCATTGGTACTCCATTTTAAAAGGAAACCTTAGAGTTCTTTAGATTTAGTACAACCTGTTGAAGCTTGTTGACTTTATTAAGATATACAGCTCATGGCATGCTCATTGTTACTTTGGAAAGTCCATCGAAGACGATGCTTATCAATCAGAGTTGAAGAGCTTTACCATCAGGTACATAAAGCCATGTGTTTTTAATTGTCACAGTCCATGGTTTCCTTGATTTTAGTTTACAATTTTGTTATTGGTTAGAAGTTTGGTTCTCATTTAATAATCAGTCCTATAGTTGATTTAATATGGTGAGAACAAACTGTTATCAATTGGATGCCCCCATGAATGAAATGAATTGGGTGAAGATTATTGAATGAGAGCCTCCTTGTTTTAAGATAGGAGAACCTGTGAAATGGAAAATAGGGAATAGATAAACTTAGAAGAAAGAAAGGGAAGCATAAGATAAAACTAATTACTAATTTATCTCATTTTGAATTGATTGAAAATTTGCCAATTTGATAGGTTTGTGAGATACTTGAAGAGAGTGCTTTGATGTCAAAGGGTGCAAATGGTGAATGTGAACCATGGGTAGTTGCCTCACGACTGCGAGATCATCTTCTTTTGCCCAAGGAAAGGAAGGACCCTGTGCTTTGGAAGAAGGTATTCTTGTATGTCTTTTGATCTGGTTATCATGATCACAGACTTATCTGTTTAATTATTGGGTTGATAATAATGATCCATGATTGTTTTCATAAACATATCCCAGTGGACTAATTGTCTGCATTAATTTTTTGAGTGAAGCTCTAATAATATTTAAAATAGCACGTGGTACTATTACACTTGTGTGGGATGAGGAAGTCAGTTTCCTGTTAATGCATTCTCATAGTGTCGAAAACATCTTGTTTTATGATACAAACCCCTCTCAACCTTACGGTTCCAGCAATCAACACATGCACACACAACAATTCAAACAATTCCACAGATACGAAATATTCCAGAATTATATTGATAAGCAGAGAATTACATATATTGAGAAATAGAAAAGCAACTGATAAATGAAGGGCAGAATTCTAGCATTTCGAGGAGCTAGAGACCTCCCATCACTATTCTTTTAACAAATTCGCTACCCTCACGTCTTAAGACTCTTCCCTCATATTCCAATTGATTCTCACTCAAGACCCAATCAACTAAGGACACGTATACACTCCGCTAACTAATTCCCCTTCCCTTTATTCACACCCGACATCCCTCTACCTTGCTTGCGATATTTCGTAATAATTGGTAGCCTAACATTTTATGAAGGAGAAGTCCAACCAATTTCAAATATTTAGATATTTTAGTTGTATTAATTCATTGAACTGTGGGCCTTTTAGCAAATATACTATTGAAATCACATTTCAGGCAATTTGTTATGTCCCAGAACAGTAGGAATTATTATGTCTCTTTCAGGGGTTATTCTCTTTGTTGTGAACTTAGATCAGCAACACCATATGTACTTGGATGCTGGGATTGCTTTATCCTGCATTCATGTTTTTATATGACCATTCTTCCACATTATAGTCCACTATCATCCAATCTTACCTTCAACTCCCATCAGTTAATAGTCTTTGTCAATTGTCATGTCCATTTTGTTATTTGACCTTGAATGAATTGTGTCTGTATCCAATACAGTCCTTTCAAGGGTGCAGGGGGGATTATTTTATTGTTCTCGTTGCCTTCCTTAATAAGAACATGAAGAACAAGAACTGAAGTTTTGAAAAGGTTTAGGTCAAGTGGGTCTGAAGTCAACTCAGTAATGATATGTGCTACTGATCTCTTGTGTCAATTTTCAAGCCATTCTTCAGTTTTGACAATACCGTTTGTAATAAGCTGTGTAATTCAAGATTCTGTATTTGTTAAAGTTTGAGAATTAGTTACCCTGATCTGTATGTTGAAAAATTGTGTTTGCAGGTTGAGGAATTCATACAGGAAGATTCTCGAGTGGATCAATATCCAAAGTTGTTGAAGGGTGAATCAAAAGTAGTATGGGAGTGGCAAGGTACCAAAGCCCGATTGCTGTCTTTGCTACTTGTTTGACTTAACTGCTGCCCTAAGTTCACCCAATATCTCGTGGGGTCATTATTGTTTTAACTTGATTGTGAAAGTTAAGTAATTGGTGAAGGATCTCTTTTAGAAACAAAAGATTTAGCAGTTTGGGGACCAGCTTATTTGTAGAATGAAATCCATTTAACAATTGTCAAAGCTATTTGCTTTGCATGCAAAAATTAGGATTTGATCATCTCTTTTATTATGAAATCATTGCTGATAGGGAACTTAAATCCAGGCATTGTTCCTAGTACAGTGTAGGCATAGAATTTGGGTGATGGTGTCTGAGAAGGATGCCAATGGCAATTATTGATAATCAGATGTAGCCTACATGGTTTGGGATGTTGAATATTTTTAAATATTTCTACAGGATGAAACAAGGTGAAATTTACATATTGAAGTGTTATTTGCCATGTTGCCAAATGACTATCTACATTTGGATCTTGGTTGTTGGAATATAATTTACTTCTTTTTCTTGGGTTTCTGAGACGGTCTATCTCATTTTTTGTAGTTGAAGGTTCTCTGAGTTCTTCAAGAATGAGAAAGAAAGAAGACAGCGGCAAATTGAAATCCACTGAAGGCAAGAACATTAAGTTTGATCAACATAAGCATACGTTGCAGGCTGGTGAGCTTGTACTGTTTATTTTTTATTTTATCATTGTCCTTCCGTCACGTATAAATGGTCTGTCTACTTATTCTCATTTAAAGTTCTATATGATTCGTTACCATGATGTGGTATTATTGAACTGAATCACTGATGTGTAATCACAATGTTGTTGCAGAACCTAAAGCACTAATTTTTTGACCACGGTATGTTTCTGAGATAGTACAATCTTATCTACTCTGCCTTACGGGCCAAAAGAACTTAGCTTGGAGCCCAATGGAAGATATTTTGGATGTTCAGTCAAAGACTTATGATAAAAAAAAAAAGGTCGAAAGAGATGGGTTGATATTTCGGTTGATGGAAAGTTTACCTTTTCATTCCATTTGCGGCAACAGATAGGCAGTAGGCAAACAAATGAGGCATTCAGGGAATTAGGGATTACATGAGTTGTTCCATTCTATATTTGCCCCCATTTTTTTTTTTCTTGGATTCGCGTTATCTAACTGCATTATGCTTTTATTTATACATGTATTGTATAAAAATTTGACAGAAATAGTAAAAATTCGAAATGCTGCTTCATCACATGGGAACTGACAACTCCAACTTAGCATGCGCCTGGACAGTACTTTCTTCTGCAGATTTTCTACCATGTATGCATATTTTAATGCATTTGGAGATGGCAAATGTATGTAGGGGCCGATTCGCTGGAAGTAATCTAAGATTACTAAAGTTATAAGATCTTGCATTATATTGTAACATTACTAAAGTAATTTTATTTGTGTTATAATTCTCTCTTTTATTCATAAAAATTTTGGATAATAATGCTCTTGTTTTAAAATTAATTTACATTAATATATCATTTCAATTTTACCCTTGTTTAATTAAGTTTTTAGACAATAATGCCATTATATTTAAAACAAATTACAAACCACTACCGTCACTCAGCTATCACCGTTGACAGCAGATCAACCACAACGGACCGTTGTCAAAAAGTTGTCGGAGTCTCTAAAAATGATCGAGAGTCGTTGGGAGGCTTCGATATGACCGTTTCTAGCCATATTGGCCAGATCTATTCCACCCGGAATAGATTTGGCCGTTAACGGTTAGGTCCATGTCTGTTAATGGCCAAATCTCGCTCAAATCTAACCGATAATGACTAAGGATCTAACTATTAACGGCTAGATCCATCTATCTTACCTGAAATTGTCAGAATAGATATGGCCATTTCTGACCATATTTGGCCTAATATGGTTGTTTTCGGCCATCAATATAGCCAGAAACGGTCATATTGGAGCCTTGTAGTCACGGTGAGCTACTCACGATGACTTTTGACTGTGGTTTGTAGTGGCGGCAGGGGTGGGGGTGATTTTGTTATAAATTAAAGTTTTATATAAGTGGGGGTGTTTTAGCTAAATCTAAAATATTGTGGGTTAAAAGAAATTATTCAAAAATTAATAATAAAAATAATATTATATTAATATTTAAAAAGATGGCAATTTAATAATTTAAATAACATACCCACCAATTTATTCCTCCCAACCAAACATATTAATATAACATATTTACTAACTAACCAAACACTTTTTTTTAAAAATTCTCAGTAATCTTCAAAATAATATAAGATTATAGTAATCTAACACTCTCAATAATCCAATATTCACTTAACCAAATGCACTATATTATAATCTCTGCCAACTAATTTATATTGATGCACGATGTGTGAGCTTATATCTGCAATGAGCCATGACACCAGATTTATACAATATCAAAAATGACAATATGGCATGCGATTTGCAAAATGTGGACGCACTCCTAAGTGTTAATTAATTAATAAATCTCTAGGTAATAAACGAAATATTGTTTGATGAGAGATTTGATTTATGAATGGCAAAATATTATTGAGGCTTGAGTGTTCAACCAAATGAGGAAAAAAAATAAAAATCAGTTATGTTGGAGATACGTCATATTCATGTCATAAATGAAAATAGAAAGAAATAGTGGACTTCCGTTTTTTTTTTTTTTTTTTGGCTTGGATTCGCGTTATCCAACTGCATTAAGCTTTTATTTATACAAGTATTGTATATAAATTTGACAGAAATAGTAAAAATTCGAAATGCTGCTTCATCACATGGGAACTGACAACTCCAACTTAGCATGCGCCTGGAAGGTACTTTCTTCTGCAGATTTTCTACCATGTATGCATATTTTAATGCATTTGGAGATGGCAAATGTATGTAGGGGCCGTTTGGTTGGAGGTCCTTTAAGATTCCTGGAGTTATAGTATTAATTATCATGTTTGATTGTCAACTAATTTAAGATTCTGATAATCTTGCATTACCAATAGTTATTACTGTTAGTAATATTTGATGTAATTTGATTACCTTTATTTTCTTAGGTATTGTAAGATTACCAAGGTAATTTTATTTTTGTTATAATTATATTCTTTATTAATAAAATTTTTAGATAATAATACTCTGTTTTAAAATCAATTTATATTAATATATCATTTTAATTTTTCCCTTGTTTAATTAAGTTTTTGGACAATAATATCCTTATATTTAAAACAAATAATAGACCACCATCGTCACCTAGCTACCATCATTGACAGCAGGCCAACCACCACGGACCGTTGTCGGAAAGTCGTCGAAGTCCCTAAAAATGATCTAGAGTCGTTGGGAGGCTCCGAGTGGCTTCGATATGGTTGTTTCTAGTCATATTGATGGCAAAAAAGGGTCATATCAAGCCAGATCTGGTCGGAAATAACAAAATCTATTCTTCCTGGAATAAATCTAGTCATTAATGGTTAGATCCATCAATGTGGCCTGAAATGGCCAAAATAGATCTAGCCATTTTCGGCCAGATTTGGCCTAATATGGCGGTTTTCGGCTAAAAACGGTCATATCGGAGCCTCATGGTCACAGTGAGCTACTCACGATGACTTTTGGCCACTTTCGGCGGTGGCAGCAGGCGGCGGCAAGGGTGGGGTTGATTTTGTCATAAATTAAAGTTTTATATAAGCGGGGGTGTGTTAGCTAAATCTGAAATATTGGAGGTTAAGAAAATTGTTCAAAAATTAATAATAAAAATAATATTATATTAATATTTAAAAAGAGAACAATTTAATAATTTAAATAACATATCCACCAATTTATTCTCCCTAATCAAACATATTAATATAACATATCCACTAACTAATCAAACACATTTTTCTAAGGATTTTTAGTAATCTTTAGGGGGCGTTTGGTTGACGGTAATGTCAGATTATTGGGGTAATGTCATCTTATATTACTTGATTACCACGTTTGGTTGTCAAGTAATATAAGATTCTGGTAATCTTCAAATACCAATAGTGACTACTATTGGTAATATTCTAGGTAATCTGATTACCTCCATTTTCTTAGGTATTCTGAGATTACCAGGGTTATCCTTTTTTGTTACAATTTTATCCCTTATTAATAAAAAATTTGGACAATAATGCCTTCATTTTAAAATAAATTTACATTAATATCCTATTTCAATTTTACCCTTATTTAACTAAAATTTTGGACAATAATGTCCTTGTATTTAAAACAATTTACAGACCACTGCCATTCAGCCACCACCACCACTGCCACCCAGCCACCACCACCTACAGCAGCTAACCACCATGGACCGCCTCCGAAAACCTGTCGGAGTCCCAAAAAAAGAACGATTTTCAGTGGGAGGCTCCGGGAGTCAGCGATATGGCCGTTTTCAGCCATATTGATGGCCGAAAACGGCCATATCAGGCCAGATCGGTGGATCTGGCCGTTAATGGCCAGATCTATTTCGGTCGAAATAGATCTAGCCGAAAATAGCCAAAATAGATCTGGCCATTTTCGGCCAGATTTGGCCTGATATGGCCGTTTCTGGCCATCAATATGGCCAGAAACGGCCATATCAAAGCCTCTTGGTCACGGTGAGTTGCTGATGGAGACTTTCGAAGACTTCCGACGGTGATCTGCGGCGGCAGGAGGTGGGGGTGATTTCGTAAAAAATTAAAGTTTTATATAAGCAGGGGTATTTTAACTAAATCCGAAATATGGGGGGTTAAAAGAAATTATTCAAAAATTAATAATAAAAATAATATTATATTAATATTTGTAAAGGGGACAATTTAGTAATTTAAATAACATACCCACCAATTTATTCATCATAACCAACCATATTAATATAACATACCCACCAACTAACCAAACACATTTTTTTAAAGATTTTCAGTAATATTTCAAGGTAATCTATCTTTCCAGTAATCCAACATTCCCAGTAATCTAATATCCCTGAATCAAACGCCCCCTTAAAGTAATATAAGATTTAGTAATTTAATATTCTCAATAATCTATCATTATGATAGTGTTATAATCTTTGCCAACTAATTTATATTGATGCACGTTGTGTGAGCCTATGTCTGCAATGAGTCATGACACCAGATTTATATGATATCAAAAATGACAATATGGCATGCGATTTGCAAAATGTGGACGCAGTCCTAAGTGTTAATTAATTAATAAATCTCTAGGTAATAAACGAAATATTGTTTGATGAGAGATTTGATTTATGAATGGCAAAATATTATTGAGGCTTGAGTGTTCAACCAAATGAGGAAAAAAAATAAAAATCAGTTATGTTGGAGATACGTCATATTCATGTCATAAATGAAAATAGAAAGAAATAGTGGACGGGATAGCGAACTCATCTCAAAGTCAAATCACATGTGCCCCATGCCAATTGGCCCAATTGTCATGCACTCCCATTTCCCCCATTATTATGTATTCCATAAATTTCTCCCTAAAGTGGTCCAATAACTAGTTACCAAATCTTGTATCACCCACTTCATCATCCACGGGCTTTGCTACAGCACGTACACTATATATAGGGACGAGTCCAGAATTTTCTATTAGGATAGGCCAAATAAAAATTTTTAGTTCTAAAATTGAGAGTAGGCTATAATTTTTTAATATTTGATAATAAAAATTAAGGGTGGGTTGAAGACTAAATAGAATAATATATTTAATTTTGTTTTTTAAAAATTGAGGGTGGGTCATGATACACTTAACTTTGGATCTGTCCTGTATATATATTTTATGAGAGGTGTTTAAGTCAGTTTATGCATACTTTAACTAGTCCTCTATATATATTCTACGAGAGGTATTTGGATCAGTTTATGCATACCTTCGATTAGTCCATATATATTCATTCTACGAAAGGTATTTAGGTAAGTTTATGCATACTTCGACTAGTCCTCTATGAGAGGTATTTGGATCAGTTTATGCGTACTTTGATCTCGAACAAAGCTTCTAAAATAGGGCAAGTCCTATGATCCGTGACCAACAATAGTAACAATCATTCTTATAATTCAAACATAAGACCACAAAAGTAGCAAACCCCTTGACCCTAAACCTTTATCACTCGACCGACCCATTATTGGTTAGCCTACTTATATTTTAGTTTGGTAACAATACACCTTGTTAGACAAAATTTTGCAATAAAATAATTTTACTTTTAATTATAATACTGTTGAGTATTACCCCACATATTTAAGGCATAACTTATAATATTTAAACGAGTAATTAACGAGGTGTCGGCAACGGATAAGAAGAAAGTGTGATGATTCATAGGAAGTAAGTAGGAGATGTAGATGTTTAAATTAACATGGGATAGCACAAACTCAAAACACATGATAACATCTACCGCGATTCTTTAGTCTCTTTTTAACAACTTTTACTGAAACTCCAAGTCTTCACATCATCTCTGTACCTGGTTAAACCTATCACTCTGTCTCTCACTCACTGCTTTGCTCTCACTTGTTATATAATATATACATACACTACGTCACTACCTATTCTTTCTTTCAATCTCTGTACAGATCTAAGTATCGTTCAACTCCTCTTGCTCTTCAGGAGAGCTTTCTTTTCAGGTGAATAATGAATCTTTTGTTTCAAATTTCTTCACTTTTTTTTTTTTTTTTAATAAGATCTGGTCTGTTTTATCGTTGTAATCTTTTGTCCGCATTATTATTGTAGTTATGAGTCTTTGTTTCCGTAGTTTTTCGGTGGCGGTGCTGGGGTTAAAGATGCTAGATGTAGTTTTCAGTTTCATTTGTTTGCTCACTTTATTGTCTGGTTTTTGTTTGAAAGCTGAAAGTAACTTGGATCAGTTAGAATTAGACCTTTAACATGGGAATGAGTTTGAGTTTGTTAAGGAGAAGTTGTAGAAATTGAATAAATAAAAAAGGTGTTTTTCTGTTGTGATCTTGAGGTCGACCTTCTTTATTTGTAATTCCAGGTAGTAACAATAATTATTTCCGAGCATTTACGATGAGATCTGTTTATGTTAGCATCCATTTTTTTTATTATTATTGATGAGTGTCGCACGATAGGGACATTATGAGTAGTTTAAGCTATTAAATATATCTGCTTTATGTTTGTTTAAGGACTTTGCCTTACCTATTTGTGGCAAATTTGATTTCTAACTATCACACATTTTAACCTGCTTCAGGCAATTGCTCAACTCTGTGATGGGCACTAAGCATAATTCATTGGCCAGCAGGACGCGAAGCCCTCTGTCTATATTCATTGTGATTGTTTTGTGCTGTTTCTTTTACATACTGGGTGCATGGCAGAAGAGTGGTTTTGGAAAAGGAGATAGCATAGCTTCAGAAATAACCAAGCAAACAGACTGCAACATCTTTACCAATTTGAACTTTGAAACTCACCATAATGATGTAGAGATTGTTGAACCTTCTGAGTCGAAGATCCAAGTGTTTAAACCTTGTGATGTTAAATACACTGATTACACTCCTTGCCAAGAGCAAGACCGAGCCATGAGATTTCCAAGGGAGAACATGATATACAGGGAAAGACATTGTCCTCCTGAAGAGGAAAAATTGCACTGCCTTATTCCAGCACCCAAAGGGTATATGACCCCATTTCCATGGCCAAAGGGCCGTGACTATGTACACTATGCTAATGTTCCACATAAAAGCCTAACAGTTGAGAAGGCTGTTCAGAACTGGGTGCAGTTTCAGGGAAATGTGTTCAAATTTCCTGGTGGAGGAACAATGTTTCCACAAGGTGCTGATGCATATATTGATGAACTTGCGACAGTTATCCCAATTAAAGATGGTTCGGTCAGAACAGCATTGGACACTGGATGTGGAGTATGTTACTTAACTCAACTAAACCTTTGCATTATATGTTCATGGTTATCTTATTTGTTTTTTGTTGAATATCTGTGAATGTATATGTGTTCATATTATATATTAAGAGCTCAATTCCTTTCATCATTTTTCCATTAGCTTTTTTTTGTTTATTTGTATTATAAAATGAGGAGAAAGATATTCTGTTCAGTAGGACAGGACAACTAGAAACAGAACACATAGATCATAGAAAGAGAAATTTGCATCCTTTGAGAATGGAGAAAATGATTTCATTACTACACCAAACGAGTACCCAAATAAAGGACAGTAAATGCACAGAGGGTAATTGAAACTTGGATTAACGTCCAGGGAATAAATAGATCATAGAAAGAGAATTTCGTATCCTTTGAGAATGGAGATACCAATATTATTCCCACTCCAATCAAGTACCCAATTAGGGGCAGTAAATGCACAGAGGGTACTTGAACTTGGATTAAAGTCCAGGGATTAAGTGTCTGTAATACTTTTCTGTAATTTCCTTTATAGTCAGGCTCACCTGGTGATAATGACTTTTCGCCAATGCTTCTAATTTGATTAATTTTGGTTGGTATATGATTGTTTTATCTGACTTTGTTGTCATTTTAAAGGTTGCAAGCTGGGGTGCATACCTGCTCAAAAGAAATGTATTGGCAATGTCCTTTGCTCCACGGGACAATCACGAAGCTCAGGTACAGTTTGCTTTAGAACGAGGTGTACCCGCTATTATTGGCGTTCTTGGATCAATACATCTTCCATACCCATCAAGAGCCTTTGACATGGCCCAGTGCTCTCGTTGTTTGATACCATGGACTGCAAACAGTAAGTGCTAAAATCATCACCTTCAAGATTGTGGAATGATGTAATGCCTTTTACTATATATGTGATATGAGTTATAACAAGGAAGTAAATGGTTTTGTGCCTTAAGAGCACATGTTAAGACTATTAAAATGGTAAGTAATAAATGTTATTTTACCATTTAGGATTTTTTTTTTTTTTTTTTTTTTTTAACACCTGGTGGAAGTTTTGACCTTGAACATTTTGACTCTTGCATGTAGATGGTATGTATTTAATGGAAGTTGATCGAGTCCTCAGGCCTGGTGGATATTGGATCTTGTCTGGACCTCCAATAAATTGGAAGACATACTACAAAACCTGGAAGCGGTCCAAGGAAGATCTCCAGGCTGAGCAAAGAAGTATTGAAGAGCTGGCTGAATCTCTTTGCTGGGAGAAAAAGTATGAGAAGGGAGATATTGCTATCTTTAGAAAGAAAGTAAATGACAAATCCTGCAAGAGGAATTCTGCCAATATATGTAAATCAAGGGATGCTGATGATGTCTGGTGAGTCAACCTGTACCTTGCTTTGCTTCTGTGCCACCTGTACTTGATTTTAGTTTATGGGTATTCTAAATCACATATACAACAACATTTGTGTTTAAGTTTCTTTTAATAGTATGAAATTCATAAATGAATTATCCTGAACATTCCCGGACCGATGTTTTTCAGGCTACCAGGTTAGAAAGTAATAGCAACAAAAGTGTTCTAGTCTTTACGTTTAAATTATTTATTTTGTTTGTATGTTAGGTACAAGGAGATGGAGGCGTGCACAACTCCTTTCCCTCAGGTATCCAATGAAAAAGAAGTAGCTGGTGGCGAATTGCAGAAGTTCCCAGCAAGGCTTCTTGCAGTCCCTCCCCAAATAGCTAATGGAGATGTAGAGGGAGTGACAGCTGAATTTTACCAAGAGGATAACAAACTATGGAAGAAGCACGTAAATGCTTACAAAAGGATGAACAGATTGATTGGCACTGCGAGATATCGGAATGTAATGGACATGAATGCTGGGCTTGGGGGATTTGCAGCAGCACTTGAATCACCCAAATCTTGGGTGATGAATGTTGTGCCTACAAATGCTAAGAACACTCTAGGTGTTATATATGAGCGGGGTCTGATAGGCATATATCATGACTGGTATGCCCCAACACTACCATAAATAATTTTTTCTTATCAATGGACAATTATGAGAATTGACTTTTGAAACTCAGGAATTTCTACTATATTGGAATCTCAATGATGTTTTTACTTGATGTCATCTTTCAGGTGTGAAGGATTCTCAACTTACCCAAGAACATATGACCTCATTCATGCTAATGGTGTATTTAGCTTGTACAAGAACACGTAAGCCTCTTTCATCTTTTTACTAAATGCCCATAAGTCACATGGTAGCATTACAATTTGGTTATTTCAAGTCATAAATTCCGATATTTTCTGGAGTCTCAATATAAACAATTTTCTTCTCATGTTAATATTGTATTTCAGGTTAGAAAATTACTATTGAGAAACTGTATTTTCCACCTGAAATGCAGAAATGTGAAATAATAAAAACTGAAGAAGCTAATACCAAAATTTGAATCATTAATAATAGCCTTTACCACCAGTTCATTTCATTTACATATTTAATAATTATGTCTTGTAAGATCAACATCATAAAACAACTTTATAATCTAAGAATTGGACTTGTCGAGCAAAATTGGGTATGAATATATGTTTATGAATGATTAAACAGGTGTAAACCGGAAGACATTCTTCTGGAAATGGACCGCATTTTGCGACCTGAAGGGGCAGTCATCATCCGTGATGAAGTTGACGTCCTGAACAAGGTCAGGAAAATCATTGGAGGCATGAGATGGGATTCCAAATTGATGGATCACGAGGATGGCCCCCTTGTGCCTGAGAAGATATTGATTGCCGTCAAACAGTACTGGGTTGGGAGCACAGGAAACAGCACATCCAGTGATGAATAAACCACTTCCTGGGCGGGCCATGAAAATTAAATCAAGTTAATGTCACCAAATGGCGATTGACTTTGTCTTGAATTGGGGGGACTGAAGAGTTCTCATCCTCACAAGTGGCATTTGTAAGCTACTAATGTTTTGTTTTTTGGTGGTGAGGAGCATATTCTCGCCAGTATTCTTGAATATGACTGTAATTTCCATAGCCTCTGCTTGAATAATTAATTAAGTTTCAAAGGAATGTTATAGTGATGAAAAGAAATACATTCATAAACATCATTATGTACTCAAATGATTACATAGTGAATATTTAGTTTTTGTTGTTTTTCCTTTCCTCTTTGCTCCTTTGTATCATCAATTGGACCCATATTCTTTTATTCTCAGATAAGTCATGCTAATTTATTTAATTAATTATTTTATAAAAAGTTACCCAATTTGTTTGAATGTGATAGCCTCCCCGTTTTCACCAAAATGGCAGACACTGTTGCCTGCCAAAATAAGTATTGGGCAGCGATATTTCATGCATGTAGAATTATTGTTTTGTGAGAAACAAGAGGCAAATCTGTGGGCAAAGCGGTTTCTGTGGATGCATTAAAACCAGTACAGTAACGAATGACACATGAACTGAACCATCCCCACTCTTATTGACCCAAATCTAAGTCGGGTCCACCCATGACCACAACTGGTTAACAACAAGACAAAACCAAGAAATATGAGATGGGTCATGATGTTTGGGATAAGTGAACTGGTGTTCACCTTATAGGCTACAATCAGATTCAGAAGTCACTTCCTTTTCTCTGTTCTTCAACTAATTCATATGCATGTATAGTTTCAAGGAATCTGACTGGTAAGCAAGCCATTGGAAACACATGATTTAGTTGGCACTAGACTTCCACCATCCCAAACTTATCTGAAAGTAAAAAGGGTGAAAAAGAAAAGAAACCGAAAGTGTGAAGATCTTAATAGTGGTGCACTGCACCCGTGCTTTTCAAGAAATGGCCAAACTTGACGAAAATTCTTCAAATAATGACTCAAATATTCAAACCTGTGGGCTTGTACATTAAATGTTAATTCTATATATATATATATATATATACATGATGGCGACGCATTAGCAAAAGAAATTTTACCATTACTGCATATGCATTAAATATTGATAATCATTTTAGGTGCAGCATCACTATTGCATAACCCTTTTAATTGAACAAAACAAACTTTTGCATATTCAACAGTTAATAATCAACTATACATTATGAATTTAGGGTTGACAAGTGGAGGAAGGAACCACGCCATATTTGGACGATTCGTGAAACTGCGAAGTCGTCAAATTGTGATATTTGGTTGGAGAATTACTAAGTTAGGCCCGAGTCGGCCGACACGAACGCCTGGCTACTGCTGCTGCTCACAATTCTACGCATCACATCACTGAAATGGGAATAAGTATGCATTATGCAATGCATATCACTGAAAACTTCCGTCTTCCATAGGTATATATATATCTAATAAATGAGTCCCAAATGTATGATTGACCGACGGTTCAGATTTTTCAGAAAACTTTTTTTTTTTTTTTTCCTGCATTTTCATAGGACGCGTTGGAAAAGGTGATATACGCTACGTGTAAGTCTAATCTAAGTTACGTGATTTGGTTTGGTATGATTCCCATATTTCTTGACGAGGATACGTACGTCAACGCCAATAATGTACTGTTGTTATACATACCATTTCGTACGTGAATGATTATATCACTATTATTATGTGAGTAAACGAATTTTTCCACCCAACGTTTAACGAATCTACAAGTTTGCACTCATAGTTTCATAAATTGCATATTCCCACCATTAAATTCACGTTGTTACTTTTCTCTAAAAATAATTCTCACATGTCAAATAACCTTCAGAGAAGATCTCGGTCAAGCCAAAAATCTTGTCTGATTCGGACACCATTGGACGTCATTGACACCACCATTAGTATCTCTTTATCCTCCTTACCAAAACCCCAAACTTTTTCACCCGATTGCACGTCGGTGAGATGCCAGAATTTTGCTAAGAATTGATGACAAAGCTCGAAAACCTAAGGGAGAGGCAGCGATCATCAGTGGGCAATTGCGATCGATAATGTTGGGCGTTTTGGTGGGGGGAAATCGGTGATGCTATTGGTGGTGTTGAGGGTGGTTTTCAGTGCTGGAACCTACTGAAATTTGGATGAAACACCGATTGACACTAAGAGCGGCAATCGGCGATTGGAGGGTTCAATCAGGCGGGGAGGTTAGGGGTTTTGATACAGGGTTTGAGGGGATTGTAATGATGATATCGAGAGGGGTTGACTGCTTAGGAAATAGGCTGAAATGGTCTGAAATCGCTGGTGGATGAGTTTGAGAAGTAAAGAGTTATTTTAAAAAATTTTGATTGACTGAATTTGAGAAGTAAAGAGTTATTTTAAAATTTTTATCTTTGAATTGACTTTTTTATCATTTTAACTATTAGATTAAATAGCTTTTTTTTTTTTTTTATTAATTTAAAAGTGAGAATCTACAGTGAGTATTGGAACTGGAATATTCGCCAAACCTTAGGTGGGAAAATGTCTTTTACTCTTATTATGTTATAATAGCTCCGCAAAAGCACGACTCCCAACAACAATAAAACAAAAAAATATAACGTGTTAAAATCTAACATAACAATCAACTTGTGGTTGTTAATTAAACTGTAATTAGGGATTAATGGTGTTGTCTTTAAATTCAACAAAGCAAATCAAAACGACTGCAACTGGGGGTTTGAATTCTATGTATTTGATTAAACCATGGAAAATGATTGAGGACTTTCAAGTTTTGAGAAGAAAGGAGGAGACAAAGATCCATTAAAGGATCATGTGGACCTTCCACTAACTCTGGATAATATGATAAGCTTCAGTTTTTCAATTTTCCGTGGATGATTGAAACAATACAAATTACGCAACTATGCACTATCAAGCGTCAATTTTAACTTCACTTTCTGTTTTTGACAATTTGGGTTATCTAGAAATTTTGGACTAACTACAAATTCAATTTTATTTAAACTTTGATCGTTTTTTATGAAAAGAAAATTTCAGTCTCCGATTCATGCAACATTTAAATGTCAACTCAATCTGTTCATTGCTAATAAATATAAAAGAGCAAATGAGAATTTAACATAATCTCTTAAATTTGAGTCTCTTTGAGAGTAAAAGAGTAAGAGAAATATTTAATATGGTCTTCCGAGTTCGAATCCCTATAGTTGCTAACAGGGGCAGATCTAGCTCCTTTGGCTTTGAGAGTAGGCCCAGGACTACCCTCAAGTTTTTAAAAAAAAAAGTTATTAATATATAGACTCATAAAAATTGTTATTAATATATATATTCAGGCATACTCTTGAATTTAAAAAAAAAAAAAATGAGAATTATTATACATATATCTAAGCCCACAAAAAACTTCTTATTAATATATATATTCCAAGCCCTTATGATATTAAAAGTTTAAAACTCTTTCCACTCTTTTCTTCCTACTTCATCTACTTTTTATGATTTTATCCTTAAAATTATTCATTCTCTCATTCTCTCATTCTCTTCCTCGTGCTATTCGATCTTAAAACTTTTGAAGACTGAAATTGTTGAGGCTTTTACTACTCAAGGTTTCACAATTAGCTCTGTTTTCTGTTTTATTACTTTTAAGTATGTGTATTGCTCATTTCAATTTAGTTTATTTTAGGATTGAATTATGCTTTTTTTTTTTTTTTAATTCTAATTTGAGAGGAAAAGACATGAACCTTGTGAGTTTATTTTGTGTTTTGTGTATAAACAATGAACTTGCTTTCCCAAATTAAAACCTTAACTATATGTTAAAGGACGTCATTCTTCACCATTTACCTACCACTTTCCTACGATTCAAATGTCACAGTTATGATACTCAAAATAAATAAAGAAATTTGAGTTATTATATATGTTTATATTAAGAAAATTTCCTTTTTTTTTTTTTTTTTTTTTTACTAATTCATAATAAAAGTCAACACAACGTTGACTTGATTTAAGCTTTGATTGACTTTAACTTAGATTAGGTCTGGTCAAAGTCATGAAAATTTACATTATAATCTTTGGAAGCCAAAAATAAAATTAAAAATTAAAAATTAAAAGAAGGTTTTGCTCAAGGTTTACTTAACATATTTACTCAAAAATTTGCTTCTCATGGATTTATTCAAGTAAGAAAGTACTGCGTTATTGTATTTTGATTATTTTTTAAAGTTTTTACTAGTTGTTTAGAAAACAATGACGGAGCCGTGGAGGTCCCCCCTCGACAAAAATCCTGTATCTGCCATTGGTTGCTAATAAAGGTAACCACTAGAGTTCGTACCCAGTTAGTAGTTTCAGGATCCTAAAAGATTACTTGAGGTACGTGTAAACTGGTCCAAATACTCCAGATAAAAAAAAAAAAAAAAAAGTATAGTATTATTTGTCTTCATAATTAAGGATAACATAACATATGGGAATCACTTTTCAATGAATTTATCGTTTTTCTTAGTGTTTGATAATAGTATATGGCTACTTAAAAAGCAAATTCAGTAGCAATAGTGTGAACCCTATCATTATCCAACAATATTTTCCACATGCTTTCTATATATAATTATATTTTGTCATATGTTACCACCAACTCCAAAGTTACCTAAATTTATCTTATATATAATTAACCTCCGCAATCTTTATGATAAATAAAAGTAAGCACGGGTTCAATAATGTTGAAAGGGATGGAAACATATTAATTAAGTAAATGAATCGATTAAAGTTGTCGTGAGGAAAAAAAAGGGTTTCACAGTTGACACGTGAGTCCAGCCAGCCTTTTAACCCTATCCTACTTTTGACATGACGTATCATTCCGTACGTAGTTGCTCTAGATTAAAATAAGCAAAACGGCAATTATCTACTGCACTGGGTTCTATTCATTCCTATCATAAGGTGTCAAAGTTATTTAACTTAAAATATAAACTAACTACCAAACCAACTTATGCTTAAAACTAATATTTAAGAGGCAATTACAGATTTGTCCTTGGGTCATTCCATCTTCAGTTAGGGGTCGGGCTCCATTTAGATTACAATTTTAAAGGAAAATTTGGTAGAAACTAGAAAGTAGGAAATGTCAAAGGCAATTAAGAAAGCAGAAAGGGAGTTTGTTGAATTAAGGGAACATAGAATCATGTCCAACACTGGTATTCAAACCTGTACCTTTCAAGCATTCAAATACCAATAACAACCAACTCACTTTCTTCTTAATTTTATGCAAGATAAAGAAGGAAAGAAAAATATATATTTACATAAGCATGGATAGAGCACATGTCATGATTAATTATAAACAACAACAATAATAATAATAAGAGTTAATTACGTAGATATCCTCTGAGGTTTCAATATTTTACAAGCCGATAGAAAAAAATCATTAGGTTAACACAAATATCCCATTCTTTTAACTTTTGTTAAGGTTATTTTTTGAATCCCTTTAATATCACTCAATATAATCAACCACTTACACCCTTTTGTCGTCCATTTTTTTGTGTTAAAGTTAATTGAGGGAAAGCTAAAATAGACCTTTTATGTTAAAATACTAAATCATATATTAAGTATTTCAAAATTATAAAAAAAAAAATATTTAGATAAAGTTAAAAAAAAAAAGTTTAAGATATAATATTATTTTTAAAAGAATTTACTTTTTTTTTAAAGAAAAAAAGAGGTGTAAGGCGATCAAAGATCTCTGAAACCATCATTCTTTGATCGCCAAAACCGGTGATTTTTTTTAAATTAATAATAAATTTTCAATTTACAAAAATACATATTTTAGAAAGTATATTTTAATTTTTACTTCGTAAAATATTTTAATTTTCAACTTTGTGTCCTTCTCTCGTTTAATTTAACACCAAATCTTGACTATAGGAGATATAAGTAGCTAATTATAAGAGGTAATTTATCAAATTTTAATGTTAAAGGGAAGTTAAAGAAGTGAAGTGTTTATGTTAAGATAATGATATTTTGTATGGGCCTGTGAAATATTGAAACTTTAAGGAAGGTGAGTAATTAGTGTATTATAATGATAGTTTAATGAATTGGGATGTGTAATTATTTGATTATTTGATAAAAGTAGAGAGGGTTTGGTTTTGTAATGAATGATTACTCAATTGTTGGGCTTGAAAGCATCAATAAGCAGATACCTGAGAGCTCATAAAAGCAAAGCAAAATCATGATACCAAAACTTTGGTCTCAATTTACACCCAAAAGGAGTATTTGTAATCAATTGCTTACTAGAATTTTATTTTCCAGGTTGGTTCAGTCTTACTTTTCTCCAAATGAACTCTACTATTGTAATTCCATTTATTTAAATAATCTATAATCAAGTCAACATTTAATATTATATTACACTTTAATTTATGGAGTCAAACTCATATTATATCTAAGCAGTTAATAAAAAAGTATAAAATTCAAAAGTTGTGGGGGTTTTTGGGATATTCACTTAAAAGGTAGTAATATAAAAAAGTGTTTTTTTTTTTTTTTTTTAATCCCTTTTTTGTTTGCAGATTATGTGGTTTGTAAACAAATAAATACAGAAATCACAGACAACCTTACAGAAAGCGCACTTAAAACCTCTCCTCTCTCTCTCTCTCTCTCTCTCTCTCTCAAGTCTTGTAGTTGTATGTACACCCAACTATGAAGTGAGAGGAGACTTGACTCTTGAGAGAAGAACAAAATCTTTTCTTTCTTCACCAAAGTTTTCTTTTCTTTCTCTTTTTTCTTCAACAAAACTCTCTTTTTGCAGTTTTTTTTGACACTGAGCACACTTTTGTTGTTGCATGTATAGTGAGTTCTCTGGTGCTTATTTTTAGAGAATTTTAGTGGGTTTATTCCTACTTTTTCTTGTTCATTTTCTCTCCTTTTCTGTCGTTGGTCTTGCCTTCGTATGTGCATGCATCTTAGTTTGTTTTGTTACTCTTTCTGGGTTCAAGCATTTTTCAGCTTTGTACTTGTTTTGATAATTTGTTGAAATCATTTTATCTTCATTTGAAGATTTTTTTTGGTTTGTTCTTTGGACACTTTAATGGAGAGATCCTACAAGGGTCTTTGTTGGTAGTAGCATGTAAGATCTCTACACTCAGAACTAGTTACTTCTCGATCTTGTTGGTGATATGTAATATTATCGTCTTTTTATGCTTCATTTGTAAAGCTTTTGATTTATTTTTCAATCCGAATTTTTATACTTTCTCCTTGATTTGCATCTTAAAGTAATTAGTTGAACCTTTTTTCAATGATCAACTGTTGCTGGATGCAAAAGAGAAAACTTTTCATGCATTTGTAGATCTTTATAAGCTATTATATCTTTAAAAGTTTCCATTTACAGATTACAATGGAGTATCCCCAATATCTTGATCTTACTTTATTAATGACTATAATTAATTTGTGATGGATATTTCTTCTGGTGCATGTCAACAAAAGTCCTGTAGTTCAGGATTCTTTTGTTGTATTTATTAGTCTTAATGCTTTAATTTATTTTAAAACTTTGTAGTATTAGATCAAGTTGCAGTATTTATTTTAATATGAAATTGTTGTGGGTCATGCAGAATTGATTTGATGTTGATAAGCAGTGATCTGCAACAATTGTTTGTGGCCTGAGAAAGGATGCCAAACCAGCTATGGTTTACACTGCCAATGATTTGTCAGCGTGGAAGGATTTTCCAAAGGGCCTCCGGGTTCTTCTTCTTGATGAGGACAGCAGTTCTGCTGCTGAGATAAAATTAAAGCTTGAAGCAATGGACTATATTGGTTAGAGATTTGAATTCCCCCTTCTGGTTCTTAGCTTTTTGTTGTCATAGTTTTTTCTTACTTAAACTAGAAAATATGGTTTCTTCATATATTCACGTTATCAAACTCTTGGGATTGAATTGGTCCCCATCTTTCTTCTCAAAAGGCATTTTTATTTCCTATTACTTAAGATGGTATCCTCACTTTTTGTATCTGGTTTAGGAATTTTATCATATACTACTCAGAATCATTTTGTGGTGTAGCGTCTGTCGATAGGAATCAATTAGTGGCAGCACTCAACTCTACCATAAAATATTTTTTTCTTGATGATGAGCAATTGATAATCAATCATGTTACATGTTTTGTACGATTAGGGATTAAAACTATACTTGGCGAAAATAGCTAGTTTGAACTTGTTGAAATCATGTATTCTTGACTGCACAGTGTTTTTTTTTTTGGTAAGTAGAATGGTGGTTTCCTTATTTAGAGTTCTTGCAATCTCATATTTCTGTGATATAAGAGTTATAAATTCAGGGTAAAATATCTTATCTTGAAATTACAACATTTAGATCTCCATTCTATATGATCCTTTGTTCTTTTAAATTTTTAATTAAATATTTAGAAAAGAATCTCATGCTTGTCTGCCTCCTACCATCAGTTATATCTGTTCCACTTCCTGCAATTTGATGCTTATGTCTTCTCTTGCCATGGGAATTTATCGCCACACATATTTCTTTTACAGTTTCCGCATTCTGCAATGAGAATGAAGCTATGTCAGCAATTTCAAACAAACCTGAAAGCTTCCATGTTGCCATTGTAGAGGTAATGACCTGTAACTGGAACCACAAGTTTCCAAAATTTCCCCAACTTTATGGAATGCTTGTTTAAAAATGATTGCACTTTGTAGTATGCTCTATGCACACACTATGAATTTCCAAAATGTAGGAGAATGATTTTGTTCATCTGTCAGGATTCATTTCTCAGACGATGCTTTTAGTGACTATGCATGTTTCATCTATCCAGTATGTGTATTCATTCCATTTATTCTCACAGGTAAGTACAAGCAATAGCAATGGGAGATTCAAGTTTCTTGAAGCTGCTAAGGACTTGCCTACCATTAGTAAGTTCAGAAATTGCACTTATTTTTGCCTAATTTTTATATAAGAATTTAATTCATGTAAATGCAGGTTCTGAAAAAATTGTTAGTAAATTATCATTTTTCTATTGTTTCATTTACTTGTTGGATATTACTGTTTCTTCTCTTCTTTGGGCTCATTGTTAACTTAACTTGGGTGTAAATTGATGCTCATAAATTATAGTGTGATATTAGAGGTCCTGACAGATTTATCTTTCACTGAACATGTCGTAAAGTACTAATGCTGTGCAAACTTTTCTTTTGTTTACAGTGACTTCAAATATTCATTGCTTGAGCACCATGATGAAGTGCATAGCGGTGAGATTTATTCTTACCACCATTCACTGCAATGTTAATGTACATTAGTATAAATATGTTGCTTATGAGTGTCTGTTCAAATGAAGTTCTATCTTTTCTTTTCTGTGAATTTTTGTCACTTGGGTTCTATCTTTTTCTTCTTAATTAAAGATTTAATAATTAGTATTGATATATTTGACATTTTGTCTTCAGCTAGGTGCAGTTGAATTCCTTCGAAAACCACTCTCCGAGGATAAACTCAAGAATATTTGGCAGCATGTGGTTCATAAGGTATGTCTGAGTTTTGGTTGGTTAATGTTGGGATTTTCTATCAAAGAACAATATTAATGCTGTGAGAAGAAAATTCTGATTTGTAAGTCATGTGCAGGCATTCAATGCTGAGGGAAGTGTCCTCTGCGAATCGCTGAAGCCAGTCAAAGAATCAGTGGTTTCCATGCTGCATCTCCAACTGGAAAATGGAGAATCCAAGAATGAGATCTCAGAGAATACAGAAATTATTTCTCTGGTTCCTAAGAATGAGAATGAACTGTCGGAAGGGAGTGACAAGTATCCTGCTCCTTCTACGCCACAATTAAAACAGGGTGGACGATTATTGGATGATGTTGATTGCCAAGATAATGCCAACAGCTTGACAGAGAAAGAAAGTGGGGAGCAAGATGGGGAATCTAAATTTGTTGACATTACTTGTGACAACTCAATTGGTGAAGGGACGTTACAGGAAGACCAACCTCAGAGACCAATGGAAACTGCGGTCAAAGAGGAGCATGACTCAACTGATGTGTCAAAAACTGAGTGCATCACGTATCCTCAACTTCATGATAAAGAAGGTCCCAAAAATTCAAATGGTGTTGTTGAAAAACGTAGTAAAGCTTCTGGACTTCATAACTCTTGTGGGATTAAAACTAATCGAAAAAAGATGAAGGTAATGTAGTTTATGTCATCATAGTAATTGGGTATGACGTTGAGAAAAAACCCCTAGCTCTATCCACTTTAGGGTAACTGTCTATAAATTTCCCGGTAATCCAGTAATTTGCATGAGATTAGCAAATTTATGGAGTACCTCATTGTCCTTGATTTATATTATGTAATTTCATAAAGTGGAGATATGACATATTTCCTCCCTAGTATGTATTGCACTCCTCTTTATTCTTCTTATCCTACTATATCATGTCCCTGACACTCATAAGTCTTCTGAAGCTCAGAAAACTTGTCTGAGTGGGAGCATGGTTTAACTCTGAACCTCCCAACCCTGTCCAAATATCTACATTAGTGAAAATCATTCTATATGTTTCAGTAATTTGCTGGAATCATGAGCTATTCCTAGGATCTCATATGACTAAATAACTTTCTCTTGTGATTTCTTTCTTTTAGTCACCATGTGAAAACCATTTGAATGTATTTAAGCTCTTTGTTAATATTGCTCAAATTCTATAGGTCACTACAGCCTGTTGTTTCCCAACATTTTTCTTTGTGATCAATGAGGTGATGGCTAGAGAGTTATCAGAATTATTTTCAGTGGCTACATTAATGATTTAATTTTGTTTCTGTTTGAGTTTTCAGGTGGACTGGACACCTGAGCTGCACAAAAAATTTGTGGCAGCTGTAGAGCACCTAGGTGTTGATCAAGCCATTCCTTCTCGGATACTAGAGCTTATGAAAGTGGAAGGGCTGACAAGGCATAATGTGGCAAGTCACCTCCAGGTGAGTGCACATTTCGCACTTTAGTCCTTTATAAGATTTGGTAGTGTGCAAATCTTTATCTTGACAGAAAACTCATATACTGGTTGTAAACATTCCAAAGTTTTTAAGTCCAGAGACAACTGATGTTGGAAAACGCTTGTTTTAAGATAAGCCTCATTCATGTCCTGTTTGTGCATCTTCCGCCAGTTATTTCTTACTATAAATGATAACAAAAATTTCCTGTTGAAGTCATTTCTAATTGCAATAACTCTGTCCATCAAGAATAGGATGCCATACACCCATGTCATTATTTACTAAACAACTTTGTTTCTAGGAATTGAACTCAATTTCATTACGAAGGCACAGGAGAATTAACTCAATTGCTTTGTGAAATTAAAATGGCTATTGATTGGCCGGAAATCAAGAAAGTCGAGATTGCGAATTTTTTTAATTCTTTATCATAGTGGTTTTTCTGGTTTGTTTAGTCCCAGAACTCACTGAAACTAATAACAAGGCCTTTTAAGCTTATTTAGGAAAACAGTACATTTTCTTTGCTGATCAAATGAACTGATGCATCTCTTCAACCAGAAATATCGAATGCATAAGAGACACATCTTGCCCAAGGATAATGATCGACGATGGCCACAATCAAGAGATCACATGCGCAGGAGTTATTATCCACATAAACCTATTATGGCATTTCCTCCATATCATTCTAATCCCGTTCTCCCTGCTGGTCCGGTCTATCCTGTATGGGGCGCACCAAGTAATCACCCTGCTGGTGTCCAGATGTGGGGCTCGCCTGGATATCCTTTGTGGCAACAGGCAGAAAGTTGGCATTGGAAGCCTTATCCTGGGGTAATCTCTGTTAACTTTGTTAGTAACACTCGAGCAATTGTTTCAAAGAAGCATGTTGGAAAGCTCATCTTTTCATAGAGGATATAAAATATCGGGTTTATAAATCATTCTAATGTTTCACATGCATGCTTAATATTTAAATTATTGTTACATTTCAGATGCCTGCTGATGCATGGGGTTGTCCTGTGATGCCACCTCCTCATGGTTCTTATTCTTCTTACCCTCAAGTGAGTATATGAAGCTGTTTGCATTTAGTATGCATTGTAGCATTATGCACAACGTTCTTGCAACAATGTCTACATGCATATTCTATTATTTAGATTTATTCTTGCTCCGTAAAATGCAGAATACATCTGGATTTCAGAGTTCTGCTGTGGTCAATAATAGCTACAACATGCCACAGAATTCTGTGGATTTCCATCCGGTAAGCATCACCTTTCAATTGGTTTTGTGCGTGTCTTACTTGCTATATATCTAAACATTAATTTCACTTATAATGTCTCTTATGTGGTGAGGCAGGCAGAGGAAGTTATTGACAAGGTTGTGAAAGAGGCAATAAGCAAGCCATGGTTACCGTTGCCATTGGGACTGAAGCCTCCATCGGCAGATAGTGTGCTAGCAGAGCTGTCGAGACAAGGCATCTCCACAATCCCTCCTCACATCAACGGCTCTCATTTATGCTGATGTTGCATCACACCATCATGTTCCACCATTATTGAAAGAGGATGTTGAGGAGCTGGACCACTCACCCAACCCCCACCTTTAAAATTTGTTGGTCTTTGAGGCCACTTGATACTACCAACTGGTAAATATCATGTCACAACTCACACCTGGACACAACCAAAAAGTACTTTTCTGAGTCTGGTCTGATCTCCGTTTGGGCAGGGAAAAAAAAGTTAACTTTCCAACTTAAAAACAAAAGTAACCAGAACCAACGACTTTGAAGTAGCCACGTGCATGGATGAATAATATGTGGTTGTAAATAGATGCTAACAGTTGTATGATGTCGGGGCATTGGGGATGTAAATTGTTTTTACTGATAAGAGTATTATGGAATAGGAGGGTGGTGATGTGGTGATATCTTATGTTGTTGGGGGTGGACCTGCCTCTTGCCGTCTTAATAATTGAAAGTATGTGGTGGGGTTTTGGATAATGTTTGTGGTGGGACATGATTTTGAGCACTGTGAATAAAGTTGACAAGAAATCTCAATGGCTTTGCTCACTTCTTCTATATCTCTTAATTTTACTTTTATGAGGATGGATTTATACATTATGCGATCCATTTGTCATGTTTTGCATCAATCTCTTGTAGTTATGCGATAAACTTTTGGGTGCAATCACATGACTTTCTTGTTACTGAAAAAGGTTTAGTCATCATACAGAAAATGATGTCTCCCTTATTTGTGGTATGGGTTTAGTGAAGACTTTTGTTATGCCGAAAAAAAATCAGGACTGACGTGTCAACAAGGACTAATCAAAGTTCAGGATGTTATTGTTACGTCCGAGCATTATCACGTCGTCGAAAGACAAGGAGTAAGGCTGTCATCAGTTTGGCAGGTAAATGCTTGGTGAGTGAGTGGCTGGGAGTCACCCACTTACCCAAGTCCTACGCGATTTAAGGATACCTTCTGTGCAACCGGCCAATGGGAAGCATGATAGGAATTGTACGGTACCTGTCTGCTGGCAGACCTATAATCATTACCTAGAAACCTCTTACTATAAATAGAGAGTTCCTCTCTATTTTTCGGATTCTAGTTCTGAAAATATAAACTCTCTCTCTCTCTCCCTCTCTCTATTTCTATTCTCTTAGATCGCTGCATGCGACTTGATTGTACTATTTTATAAATAAAAAGACAGTGGACGTAAGATTCGTTTTGAACATCTGAACCATTTTAAAAATTATCTCCCTTTTATTTGTTTCATTTTCTAGTTCACATGTAATTTCTAACTTCGTTTAGTATTTTATATGTATGAATAGTTGGTGTCAAAATCTAACATGAGCAACTTTCAAGCATTTAAGTTAGAGAGGATGAAGATGAATTCAATGCCTGTCCATAATAAAAAACATTACCAACGACATGCTGCTTTCGACAGCGAAGATAAGACACTTTGGGCTTCATATTGCAGGAAGTGGGCTTTTATTGTCTAGTGAATAGCCCCACATCCAGAAAATATAGGCTAGGCTGCCTTTCCGTGGGTTTAAAGTTGGAAGCACTTTTAAACAACCCACGCCCACCACCCCGAAGGGGATAATATGTTTTCAGCTTCTTATGATAAAAAGTTTATTACAATTTTATTTTACTTTTAAAATCAAAAGTGCGTGAAGAGGGGTCGTGCATTGCACGTGCATCTAAGCCAAATAGTGGGGACTTAAAAGATGTTCGAGTAACATGGCCGTCATAGAGTGGTTGGCAATATCAAATGATGAGAGTGAATGTGGATTTCAATAATCATTTCTCTTGACCGTTAGTTGTTGTCTTGACCGTTAGGTTCTTTGTCAGCTACGGGAGGTACACTCCCGCCAAAATTATACTATGACCTATTTTTTATGTACACGCGGCAAAATCTGGTTGAATTTCGAGTGCGATTATTTTCTGCTTATAGTGTACTGGTTTGTAGTGTATTACTACTTGAGCTTAGTCAAGATTTAATAAATTTGTATAGTGACGGAAATTTATCAAAATGAAGGGTATTGGACCACAATGTTGCATTTAGATTTAGATTTAATTAAGAATGACTTTCCCACCGTCCTACCCACTATTCTTAAATCTTGACCGTCATTTCACCGACTGTTTTGATGATTTTGACAAATGTTCATAATTGATTGGTTTTCCAATTTGGTGAAAAAGAAAGGTGATGCAACAACTCGGCAGTTTCCCACGCAAGAAAAATTTGAATTAATTAGAAAAAAAACCAATCAATTATTGCCACCTGTCATGATCTTGAGAAAGATACGACAGAATATGTTCGATTTGAGAAATTTAATTTAATTTATTTTGAGTGTATCATTTCAATCATGATAAAAACCAAAGGGAACCTTAAAAATTAAAAAGTAAACGACATGTTCCCACCTTTAAGCAAAATTCAAAATTCTCACCCCCGGTTTCATAAATTCCAGATTCTCATCCTCAAGTTAACAATGCTAATGAATTTTGACGGCTAACACAGTTACAAATTGTGCTATTACCATATTACCCCTGACTTTTAATTTCACCACCATCACCATCGCCATCACCATTGCCACCATCACTATCACCCCCCACCCACCACCATCATGACCGAAACCCCAAAGTCACTACTACCACCATCTCAATCCCTCTAAACCCCAAAGTCAGCCCTACCCTCACCAAACAACCACCACAAACTTCCAACAAATCTCTCATCTCACCTTCTACAAATCAAATCGTGGCGTTTCAGACCAAATCCACTAGTTTATTCACGCCGTGCAACAACACCTAGATGCCAAAACATAGATTTAAGCCATAAAATGACTGAGGAATCTAAAAGAATCTATAAAATAGTAGCAGACAACACTTCTAATAGAGATTCATTTCTAAATAATGCTTCAATTGAGGTGTCTCCAACGCTTGTTCTTGAGGTTTTTAAGAGGATGTACAATGCGGGTGTGCTGGCGTTGTCGTTCTTTAGGTGGACCGAAAGCAAAAAGGGTTTAAACATGATGCCTAGATGCTTTGATTTAATTCTTGGAAAGATTAAACAATTCAAAATTATATGGGAATTAGTGAGTGAAATGAGGCGTAAAGGGTTGTTAAATAAAAGAAACATTTGCTTTAATTTTGAGGAGATATGCAAGAGTTATGAGGGTTAAATAAGCCATTGATGCTTTTGAGAAGATTGAGAAGTTTGGATTGAGGTGTCTTCACCACAAACTTACCTACAAACCTAGATTGGATGGGTTGTCTTCTGGTGGCTTTGAGGCTGTTGGATTTGGTTGATTTGGCCACAGCGTGATGCCCTTACGGTGGCCAAATCCAGCTGCCTCAGAGCCTATTCTAAGAGGGAAGGAAAAAGTAAGTGGGAGGAAGAGAAGAAGAAAGAGAGGAGGAAAATAGGAGAAGAAGAAGAAGAATGGGTAGAAGAAAAAAAAAAGACGACAGTGGTATGGTGACATTGGGTGGGTAATCGGACATGGAAGAGAAATGAGGGAGAGACGGGTGAGTTCAATGACCATTTTACCCTTTGGTCATTCCTTTAAATAATTTTCTACTAATTTAAGTGTGAGAATCTGTAATTTATGAAACTAGGGGTGATAACTTTGAATTTCGCTTAACCTTGGGTGGAAACATGTCGTTTGCTAAAAAATAAATGATAAAAAAAGAGTGTAATCCGGGAGGACAAGATTTTCAACCAGAAATATAACATTTTGTTATTGATAACTTAAAACATGTAAATGATAATGACAATAAACTTTATAATATATGAAAACAATTGGACACACTATTGATTGAGGGAAAGGTCATTTGCAAAGATGTTTAAAATTTTGACAAAAGTATTTAATGTTTTTTTAAATATGAATAATAGAATGCCTAATTTCACTTTCAAAACTGCCACAATTAAATGTAAAAACCAGTACTTTTTGATTTTGAATTAATTAACAAGAGCACAATATGTTCATTGTGTTGTACTCAGAGACAAATTGACACAATTATCCCGCTAACAACAGCCAATTGGTATGCAACTCATGAGGATATTATGGTGATTTTGTTATAAGAAGTGGGCGGTGTAATAAAAATAGATGGAGTGGACAAAGCAAATGCCAACTGTCGAATAACACGAACAGCGAACAAAATAAGTAAAAAGGTGTCGAATTATCGTCCCACAGTTTTGAGCTTCCAGACACTCCTTTCCCTTGTTTATTTTTATGTTTTTTCAGAAACACAAAAAAAAAAAAGAAAATAAAGCAAGCCAATATTAACTTCTCTAATACCTGTAAGTTCTTCAAATTTCAATTTTTATCGTTATCGTTATTTATCTTCATTCTTTCAATCATTTAACGCGATCTGAGCTTAGCTTTTCATAGGATTCCATTAAACTAACGCTTCTGTAGATATTCGATTTTTATTTTTTATTTAATTTTTAAAGTTAATTAGGGTTTTTTTTTTTTTTTTTTTGCTATTTGTATATGAATTGGATAAAATTTATTGAAATTAGAGTTGCATTGCATCACGAGCTGATTCAAGTCCTTTTTTAATTTCATGGATTGAAGTGATTAAGTGTTCTAATATCTCTGTTTGGGTGCCGGGAAAATCCAGGAAAATGAAAAGAAATTTTAATTTAATAATCCACTGTTAGATTAGGTCTTTTTGTTTTGGGAATTGTAAGCCAACATTAAACCAGATAGCCTTATTTAATTTTTAATTTTTTTTAATTTTCCTGAAAAGTGTCTTAATGTGTTGCATGGATCGTGATAAGGGAATAATCTAAAATTCAGTAATTCAATTTTCTTTAATTTTCCACTTTTTACTCGGAACGTAGTACAAGTTTCTGACTGAAAAATCTTTGCCATACATAAATATAGTAACAGTTTGTGTTAAATTTCATTTACAAGCGAAAGTTTTTGCGTAAGTCATTTTTAGGTAAAATGTGGGGTTTTTTGTTGAAGGTGAACCACAGAAGTTGATGAATTAAGAAAGACCAAGTTGGACTGTGATCAAAGGGCATTTGAGCAGTTTAGGGGATGGCTTGTAGAGGATGCTTGGAGTGCTTATTGAAGCTACTGAACTTATTGCTGACTCTTGTGGGATTGGCAATGGTTGGTTATGGAATCTACTTGTTTGTGGAGTACAAAAGAGCGGAGGCCAATGAGACATTGTTTTCACCTGTGAGTGGTGATGAGACTTTGGTACAGCTCGGTCGGCCTATGCTTATGGCTGTGTCTTTGTCGTCCAGTATTTTTGATAAGTTGCCGAAAGCCTGGTATGAATGCTGCCTACTCATTTCACCTAAAATTCAATTAATGTTTTTCTTTTCTTTTTTTTTTTTTTATTTTTTCTTTTTTTTTATTTTGTGGCTAGACTTAGCATGTTTTATTTTATACTTGAGAATCTGTGTGGTATGTTTGTATAGAAAGTTGTGATGTTGATAGTATCAAATTGCTTGTGTTGCGTTAGTTTTGCATGTTAGCTATCCTGTTTTTATTTGATTGTTTGGTTGTTAAATGGGTGTATGATCTTGCATGTAATTGCTAAAGTTATAAGATAACTGGTTACATCATAACGCAATGCAAGAACACATGAATTGTTAATAAACTATGATCAGAAGTATCTTTTCAGTGAGGTTACATAGAACATCCATCTTTTTAGTGAGGTTATATGAAAAATAGTGTTTCTTATCTGGTTTTGATTTGGAACTGGATTGGTCTCAGTTTGGCAAAGGTCAGCTCAGATTTTAACTTTGGTGTGTAGCACCTCTTCTATGCTCCCTATTATGTTATTGTCAACCATAGTCTGCTTATTTTGTTGAGTACTTGTTTTTCATTGAAAGAATCTAATCCTGGCCCAATTTATGTTTATTTTTATTGATTAGTAGTACAAGCGTTTGAATGCTTAAGTTGAGTTATTTATTGCATTACATATTATCCTGTAATTTGCTCAATTCTAATTGTTGCACCATATCTCTTTGCAGGTTCATATACTTATTTATTGGCGTAGGAGTGGTTCTCTTTGTCATCTCTTGTTTTGGTTGTGTTGGAGTTACAACACGGAGTGGATGCTGCCTGACTTGTGTATCCTAATTGGTTTATAGTACTTATTGGGACTAATGTTATGAGTATGATTTCTAAGAGATAACTCTTTCATGTGGTACTGATGTTGTACTTTTCATGCATCTTGACATATTTTCATTTTAATAATTCAAATGGTTGATAATATCTAATTTTTATGCTCTTTTTTCATGTTCCCCTCCATGTTTCTTTGTTGGTTATTATTGGTTTCCTTAAGCAAACATAGTATTCAATATTGGTAATCTTGTTGATTTTAGTTGAACTGGGCTGTGCAGCCTTCTTATTCTTTGACAAATCCTGGAAAGACGTGAGTATGCTCAACTGAATTGTTGACATTCAGGATTATACACCTGATTAACTAATAAGTGAAACATTTTTCTTTTCAGGAGATTCCAACAGACAAAACTGGTTATTTTGACATGATATATGATTTTCTGAAAGGGCACTGGACTATTGTGAAATGGGTTGCTCTTGGAATTGTTGTTTTAGAGGTATGTGTAATATGAAGTCATTTGCTTTATTGAGGATAAATATTACCACATGCATGATCTCACTCATCCTCACCCTGAAATGGTTAGTATACTGATGGACGAGCAACTCTTCATCTGTGAACTTTTACAATAAGTGGATTAGGTTTGGGGTTGAGGTAGATCTTATGTTTAAATTTGCTTAGCAAAGATAGAAAAATCAGAAAAGAATAATTTTTTTTTTTAATGGCTTCTCTTTATAGATAAGCTCCATTTTTTTTCATTTTTAATAATTATGAATTCCCTGAACATGAACATGATGCTTCATAAAATATGTGAAATTTATTACACTTCTTGAAATGGCATCAAAGTTATTCCTTGCTTGTGTGCGATTTTGAACTTTCAAATTGATAGAATTGTTTATTACTAATGCTACCCCATAGCAGCCCTTAAATAATGAAGCAACTGTGAACTTGCAGGCTCTTATTTTCCTGTTAGCTCTTGTGGTTAGGGCAGCAAACAGACCTGTAGAGTATGATAGTGATGATGAGCTCATTGCCCCAAGGCAACAAATAAGGCAGCCCTTGCTCAACAGGCCACCAGCTCCTGCAACAGGTGTGCCTGTAGCTGGAGCTCTTGATCAGCGTCCAAGTAGAAATGATGCTTGGAGCACACGCATGAGGGAAAAGGTGCGATATTTTTTTCCTAGAAATATATACTTTTTAAATGCTGAGAACATGGGTGCTTTATCTGCTAATTATGAATAGTATTTTGTTGCACTGTACTGCCTCTTTAATATATTGTCAAAACATTGGATCTAGATTCTCAGGAAGCGTCTAAATTTTGGAACTATCTGAAATGCTTGAATTGACCCAAACAATTTATTTTGCATTTTAAACCTGCCTTGCTTACCCTACAATCTTTTCTTATTCTGATATTGTAGGGAAAATATATCTTTAGATTTCTGATCACTCATCCAGTTAAATCCCTAATCTTGCAATTGATTCATGTGGTTACTGTATGTACAAAGAGAACACTGAGCCCATCTTATAATCAAGTAGAATTTAGAGACTACTGTTGATGCTCCATCTCATTCTTGAGTATTTCATGATGTTAGGATTTTATGGTCTAATACTTATGCACTCATCAACTTGATTAGTGTAATATATGACAATTTGTCCCAGTTATTATTTCTGACCTCTGAGATACCTTATATTAGGAGCCATATAGGGCCCATTATCATGTAGTACCATCATAGTTTTCTATCTTTTAATAACCATCATAGCACTGAGATTGGATGAATATATGTTTGTTTATTTATAATTCATACTGAGTTCTAGTCCTGATACTGTTTTCTGGTTTATAATGCGTTTAAACCAGTATGGGCTCGATACTTCTGAGTTCACATACAACCCATCTGAGTCACACAGGTTCCAGCCAGTGGCCCCACAACAATCAGAAGAAAGGAGTCGTTGCACCATTATGTGATGCCTTTGTGGATGTTGCCCAACTCAAGTGTTTTTTGAACAATGGTTTCAGAGCTTAAAAGTTTCCAGAGGACGGTCTTTTCCTTTTTTGTGTACAAAACTCATTGTTTTACTTTGATCATGAATTCTCGTGGAGTTCAGTTGAGTCGTTGCACCCCGTATTTCACTTTATGCCAACTGCATTACCATTTTGTGTGTAAAAATGTACTAATTACAATCATGAATTCTCGTGGAGTTCAGTTGAGCTTAATTGTTTTTATAGAGTTGTGAGGACATTCTGTACTTGCATAAGGCTTATTGAAAAAAAAATCTAAGGGTGTGTTTGTTTCCTTATTTTTGTCCTATCTTATTTCTATTATTTTCAAAATACACATTTATTTCCCTATTATGAAAATACTATTATATTTTATTCAATTATTTTAAACCTCCTAAGTTTGTTAATTTAACTAAATACCCTCCAAAAAAAGTTTAGAAATTGATAAAAACACCTTTATCCATTCACATTTGTCAGATTTCGGTCACCATTGTCGTCAGGTGGTCGAAATCTGGTATAATAGCGCACTATTGGTTGGATTTGGTCGATAATGCGTCGATATAGTATTTTCTGGCTATATTTACGGTGGATCTAGTTGGAAAAAGCCAGATCTTTGGTCGTAGTTAGTCGTCAACGATAACCATATATTTGGTCGTCGTTGACGACTAAACGCAGTTAGATCTGACCTTTTCCAGCCAGATCCATGGTGGATCTGGCTGGAAAAGACCATCTAGCTGATCGTGCGCTGATATGGTGACTCAAGCCATCCTCCAGCGGTGGTGGCCAGCTGCCAGTATTTAATGGGTGAGTGGGGGTGTTTTTATAATTTTTAATGTTTTTATTAAGGGGGTCTTTAGAAATTAACAAGCCTAGGGGGTGTTGTTGTTAATTTTCAAATTTTACCTCGTAATTACTACTCAATTCTTACTTTTTCAAAAACATTATTCAAAATACTTAAAAAACACACCTTAAGCTTTCACATTATGCACAACTTCTAAAAAAGCTGCATTTCTTTTCTTCTTTAAAGAAACCAAACATCTGGAAATTTTTCAAACCTAATTCTTCCTGAATTTAGGGTATCACCATCTTTTAAGCACTGTTTTAAAACCTGGACTGGGACTCGGAAGCTTCTCTGGTTCGGTTCGTTTTAGGGGGGTTTTTTGTAATATTTCAAATTTATAGGGGCTAATTAAATTTTCTAGGGGTGTTTTGGAGATATATAAAAAAATTTAGGGATTAATTGGTAATTTTTTGGAGGCATTTTTGAAATAAATAAAAATTTTAAGGACTAATTTGAATTTTTAGGGGTATTTGTGTAATATACTAAAATTTAAGTGATTAATTTATAATTTTTTAAAAATAAAATTATTGTTGACGTCACCGGTCCAAATCCAACCGACCAGTCCAATCGGTTGAACTGCTCGACCCATGGCCCAGTCACTTTATCGGGTATCAAATGGGTTGAGTTTTAAAACAATGCTTTTAAGTTTTGTTTTACTTTGATCTACATTCAAGTTGCTCGAAGGGTAGTGGTGTGATATCAAAGTTTGATTATCAACAAGTTGGGATAATAAATGTCACTTAATGGGAGAAGCTAATTTACATTGGCTTGAAATAATGCATAAAGCCTCGTGCAACCATTGTTTTAAAACCTGACGTTGTGAGACCTGTAAGTGACCGGTCATGGGTTGACCAGTTCAACTGGTTGGACCGATAAAATTAGCAATAATTTTATTTTAAAAAAATTTATGTAATCCCTTAATTTAATATATTACAAAATACCCCTAAAAATTTCAAATTGTCTCTAAAATCTTATTTATTTAAAAAGTGCCCAAAAAATTACACTTAATCCCTAATTTTTTGACAATCTCCAAACACCCCTAGAAAATTACAATTATCTCTATAAATTTGGAATATTACAAAAACCCTCTAAAATCTGAAATGGTCCCGAGAAGTTGTCGGGTCTAGATCCGACCAGTCGGGTTTAAAAACAGTCGTGCGAACTTGGCTGATTGCTTTATTTTTCATAGTATCTTGTATGAAACTATGATAAGAATTGAAATGATGAAACAGAAGGAAGATATTATTGAGTGATATTTCAATGTCATTGTCCATAAAAACGCAAGAATTGCAGAGATGATGGAGGCGGTTAGTCGGTTCCAGAAGATATTTTTGTTTATCTTAAAAGAAAACAAAAGAATAAACGTACATTGTAGATGAAAACCACATGTAAACACTCCCACTGAAAACAAAACAGATACATCATTGTCTTCTATATCTGTTTTGGTCTTGTTAAGTTGTCGAGGTGTTTTAAGACTCTACCGACATTCAATGTTTACAGAAGGGTCGATTTCATTTCCTAAGTGACATCACTTCAGTATTAATAAGCTAATCAATAATGCTAAATGTGCAAACAAATCTTACCAAGATTTATGTATAAAGATGTGACAAAAATAAATGAAAGAGTAAATTGATGAGTTTACTTTTTGTACCAATTCTTTTATTATTTTCTGTCATATCAGTTTGTACAAAATCTTTGCAAGAGTTTTGTACATGTAACATTACTTAAAGCTAATAAAGGAGTGTGCTAAAGGTATTCCTCTCTTCTTCTCAGTTGGGTCCAAGTTCAAAAACAAACAAAGAAAGTGATTGCGGTTGAGACTTGAGAAGGACCAGAGATTGGGGTCTTTAATTATGCAGGTACTTAATGTTTGTGCTCGTTGGTGAATGGTGATAACTGTTCACAATGGGTTCTGGTAATGACAAAATATATACCGAGATTCCAGACAAAACAAAGGCAATTAAGAAGATTAAAACTAGTGGGTGATGACTAAACCATAACCCACACAGCCCACTACATCTTATAGATAATCGATGGTTTAAATTAGTGCATTATCTAGCATAAAGATGAAAACTGGATTATAATTATTGCAATCCTCGACGACTATGATGTCACAAACCGCCAAACTCTTTTTATTGGTCTCAACTCAAATGTATCTTCCACACACACAACATGACAACAACTAACGTTCTGTGTGTAAAATATTCTGTTTTGTTTTCATTAAGCTTTCGTAAGGGGCTGCTCTTTGGACCAATAGATTAAGATATGTTGTTTCGGTTAGTTAACAATACTCAATGAACATTAATCAACCAGGTGTATATATCCAAACTGCGTTTATTTACATAATATGTGGTAACTTAAAGACTCTATCATGTTCAGGAGGAGAATGATTTCATCTTTTCATTTCGGTCGTATATAAGCGTAAACTAGTAATTAATAGAGAGCTTTTTCCTCCTTTAATCCATTCGTAGTATACTTATAAAATGAATGGAAAAATATTCTTAATCTTTCCATCCCATAGAAACTAATTAAGCGATTTATGAGGTGTAGTGTCCAGTGGCAGACCCAGGATTTTTGCTTGGGGGCCCCCCTCGCTCTGCCAATGCTTGCCAATCAACTAGTAAAAACATAAGAAAATAACATCCAATTCACAAGGAAACACAAGAAAATTGTTACGTGGAAAAACTTCTCAATGTGAAGAGATAAAAACACACGAGAATCTAACGATCCACTTAAATCCAATATAATCAAAAGAGTTAACTAATGCATATTTTGACAAACATGCAAATGTAGCAAGTGCACTAGTTGCAAAAAGTAATAAAGTGATAAGTAGAGTATCGTTCCCACGAGGATAGTATTACTAAGTACCGATTTCTCTAGTTTAAGTCCTAATTGAAGCAACAATAAATTGGATTGATGGAAAATTAACGAACTAAAACATAAGATAAATGAATTATAATGAAAAAGGAAAACCCAATAACTTAACATTAAACACAATGCTAAAAAAAATGTTAGGGTGTTGATTTCACCTAGATACGCAACCAAATCATAGAATCTATTACCCAAGTTCTAATTCCTTGATTGAAAATCGAATTCCCTAAGTTATAAAACATACCTTCTCAGGATATTTTTCTACTTATCCGTATTAAGCTTCCGCACCCAACAAAATGAAGATTAATAGTTCAAAGTTTTTTAAGCTTTATGGAATTCTATCTAGATTTCATAAATCGGTAAACTTATCTCTAGTGTTTGCTTAATCTACGGTATTTATTCCAAGAGGCACAATCACAAATCACTTCTTAGTCTCATTGTGAACAATACACATTTGAATAGTGATCAAGCATCCAAAAGTCATTAAGCAAAGAGATAAATACTCAATCATAAAATTAAAACTTAAAGTAAATCAATTCATATAAATTTGAATCATTGTATCAAGGTTACATCAACCCCTAGCTAAACAACTCAATTCATACTCAAAAACAAAATAAAATAAAAAAAACAAACTGAATCAAGATTTATCATTGAAAAACAAGCAAAAGATGGAGAAATCTTCTCTAATTTGAAACTCAAATCTTCAATAATCTTCTCCTTTCAAGAGCTGCCTTCCAAATGACGAACCAAGACCCTTTTTCTTTCATTTTCGTGCTAATTTATATCTCTTTCTCTTAAGGACCAAGCCCTAGAAAGCCAAAACGCGTTGTTTTATTTTTCACATCTAACGAAGTTTTGCCGCGGCGAAGCTTTTTCCTTACCGCGGCGAAAATCTTTTGGGCCAAATTTGAGCATGAAAGAATCTGAATATGGAAAAGTGTTAAACATATGAATTGTAGCCCTTTAAATTATATTTCTACTCGTTAAAGAATCAGCACAATCCGAGGTCTACAACTCAAGTTATGGCAGAAATATTGAAGCACGTCCAAAGACCTTTTTCTTTAGTTTCCAACAGGTTTTCACCATTGTCCAGTCAGAATTAGTAAAAACCCAAAACACAAAAGTTGTAGCTCTACTTCTTAGCTTTCCAAAGCTTCTAAAATCAGGTCATTCTGAGTTTCCAAGCTCAAGTTACGTAATTTACGCTCAAAACTGTCATTTATGATCAAAATCATCGTTTAGGCCTACAAAGACAAATTAATAAAATTAGGTAACAATTATGGCCCAAATTGTATGAGAAATATCCTAAATCCTATCGAATTTAATGCAAAATCATAAGAAAAAATATGATTATCATTTACAACAACCACAAATCTACTAAAAATATTCTACACTAATTTAGAACTCAATCACAACTCTAATAAAAATAAAATACACAAAGATTTACCAAAAGATGAATTACAATCACTCCAAATCCAGATCCGCATGTAAAAGGGAAGTTGGAAATTGGGGAAGAAAAACTTGAATATGACAAAACCTAACTTTTTAATTTTTTAACTTTTAACTTTTCTTTTTTACCTTTTAATAAAACTTTTCAATTTATTTTTTAAAGTTGAGGGCAGGCCTGTGCCTACCCTCAAGGGGCCTGGATCCGCCCCTGGGTCTATAGTGTAGTACTGCTAAAACCCTGTTTCCATTTTCGAAGAAAAGTTGGTGGCTATGAATGAAGTATTTAGGGGTTAAATGATTTGTGGCTGATATTACAAACTTTAGAACATGAATCTGACCAGTCGAGTAAAAAGTAGCCTTAATGAGTTGAATCAGATCTACTATGGAAAATTAAGCCTCTCTCTACACTTTAATTTATGTCGGTATAAAAGTTAGGCCAATTTGCCGACTGTTCATGCTCCACCTTATTTGTTGTTGCTAATGCCGGAGAATGCAAAGAAAAGAAAGAGAGCTACTGAGAAAAATGAAAAGTAATATTTTCTACATTACCAACTGAGTTTTACATCAAAACCAATAAAGCAAAAGTTTACTGTTGACAACCACTTTACAGACATATTTTATCCAACATTAATCTAAAGCTATACATTAATACCAACTTACAACAAACATTATAAACACATCCCATATAACCTGGCAGTACAAATCTAAGCCATTACAAAATGAATCAAACAAGGTTGCCACACAAAACTGATAGATGGCAGATTGAAATACATTTTGGCGCCATAACAGATTCAAAACAAGTTGACAAACTGCTACATTTCTAGCTAACTATCAGAATTTAACACTCCTCCTTGATAGTTGGCTGGAAACACCAAGTCCGAATTTGAATTCTTCAAACTTGGCTTTGGAAACAACTTTAGTCATAATGTCAGCCACTTGGAATTCACCCCTATAGTGCATCATTTCCACTTCACCATTTTGTTTAGCCTCTCTCACTGCATGAAACTTAATTTTGATATGCTTTGTACGTCCATGATGCATTGGATTTTTGGCCATTGCTACAGCAGATTGGTTGTCACACATGATGGCAGTAGGCTTGACCTGCTTCAGCTTCAAATCTTCAAGAATCTTTCTCATCTAAATGACTTGATTCACAACAGCAGCAGATATATACTCTGCTTTTGCTGTGGATTGAGCTACGGTTTCTTGCTTTTTGGAAAGCAAACAAATAGCACCACAATTTAGAAAAAAATGCATACCCTGAAGTGCTCCTCATGTTATCTATTGAACCAGCCTAGTCGCTGTTAGAAAAACCAACCAACTTGAAGTCTTCTGATCTCCTGAACCACACCCCAAAGTCAGTGCTGCCCTTCACATATCTCAGCACCATTTTTGCAGTCTTGAAGTGAGTCTTGGTTGGTTGACTCATAAATCTGGACAGCAAACTTGTGGCATACATTAAGTCTGGTCTGGTTGCTGTCAAGTACAGTAGGCAACCAATCAAGCTCCTGTACAATCCTACATCAACCTTCTCAGTCTCATCACTTTTTGATAACTTCATATTTGGAACCAATGGTAGGTCCACTGGTTTACAATTCTCCATGTAAAATTTCTTAAGGATTTCACTTGCATACTTCCTTTGATTCACAAAAATACCATCTGCATCTTGATCAATATCCATCCCAAGAAAGTATGACATTTCACCCAAGCCCATCATTTCAAACTCACTGTGCATGAATTTTTTGAATTCCTCCACTTGAGCATGATTGCTTCCAATCACTAGAGGATCATCCACATACAGAGAAATGATCATTACATCATCTTCGGCTTCTCTAATGTATAGAGTGTGCTCATTTGGACTCCTCACAAAGTCTAAACTGAGCAGGTGGTCATTAATCCTGCTATACTAGGTCGTTGGTGCCTGTTTTAGGCCATATAAGGCCTTCTTCAGCAAGTAGACTTTTCCTTCTTCTCCTTGAATCTGATACCCTTCTGGTTGTTCAATATAAGTCTCCTCATTCAACCAGCCATTCAAGAAAGCAGATTTAACATCCAATTGATGAATTTTCCAAATAAATTGAACTGCCACAACAAGCAGCAATCTGATGGTATCATGTTGGGCAACTGGTGCAAATGTCTCCAGGAAATCTACTCTATATTGCTGAGCAAATCCTTTAACAACTAGCCTGGCCTTATGCTTGAAAAGGATTAATTGGTAATTTTGGAAGGCATTTTTGAAATAAATAAAAATTTAAGGACTAATTTGAATTTTTAGGGGTATTTTGGAATATACTAAAATTTAAGTGATTAATTTTTAATTTTTAAAAATAAAATATTGTTGACGTCACCGTCCAAATCCAACGACAGTCCAATCGGTTGAACGCTCGACCCATGGCCCAGTCACTTTATGGGTCTCACAATGGGTTGAGTTTTTAAAACAATGCTTTTAAGTTTGTTTTACTTGTCTACATTCAAGTTGCTCGAAGTGTAGTGGTGTGATATCAAAGTTTGATCTTATTCAACAAGTTGGGATAATAAATGTCACTTAATGGGAAGAAGCTAATTTACATGGCTTGAAATTAATGCATTAAAGCCTCGTGCAACCATTGTTTTAAAACCGACTCGTTGGGAGACCTGTAAATGACCCGGTCATGGGTTGACCAGTTCAATGGTGGACCGATAAAATTAGCAATAATTTATTTTAAAAAAATTTATGTAATCCCTTAAATTTATATATTACAAAAATACCCTAAAAATTTCAAATTAGTCTCTAAAATCTTTATTTATTTAAAAGTGCCCCAAAAAATCACAATTAACCCTAATTTTTTGACAATCTCCAAACACCCCTAGAAAAATTACAATAATCCTATATTGGAATATTACAAAAACCCTCTAAAATCTGAACTGGTCCAGAGAAGTTGTCGGGTCTAGATCGACCAGTCCGGGTTTAAAACATGCGTGCGACCTTGGCGATTGCTTTATTTTCATAGTATTGTATGAAACTATGAATAAGAATTAGAATGATGAAACAGAAGGAAGATATTATTGAGTGATATTTCAAGTCATGTCCAAAATAACGCAAGAATTGCAGGATGATGGAGGCGGTTAGTCGGTTCCAGAAGATATTTTTGTTTATCTTAAAAGAAAACAAAAAGAATAAACGTACATTGTAGATGAAAACTCACATGTAAAACCTCCCACTGAAAAACAAAACAGATACATCATGTCTTCTAATCTGTTTTTGGTCTTGAGTTGTCGAGGTGTTTTAAGACTCTCCGACATTCAATTGTTTACAGAGGGTCGATTTATTTCTTAAGTGAATCACTTTCAGTATTAAAAGCTAATCAATAATGCTAAATGTGCAAACAAATCTTACCAAGATTTATGTATAAACTGATGTGACAAAAATAAATGAAGAGTGTAATATGATGAGTTTACTTTTGTACCAATTCTTTTATTTATTTTCTGTCATATCAGTTTGTACATAAATCTTTGCAAGAGTTGTTTGTACATGTAACATTACTATTAAGCTAATAAAGGAGTGTGCTAAAGTTGGTATTCCTCTCTTCTTCTCAGTGGGTCCAAGTTCAAACACAACAAAAGAAAGTGATTGCGGTTGAGACTTGAGAAGGACAGAGATTGGGGTCTTTAATTATGAGGTACTTAATGTTGTGCTCGTTGGTGAATGGTGATAACTGATTCACAATGGGTTCTGGTAATGACAATATTATACCGAGATTCCAGACAAAACAAAGGCAATTAAGAAGATTAAAACTAGTGGGTGATGACTAAACATAACCCACAGCCCAATACCTCTTATAGATAATCGATGGTTTAAATTAGTGCATTATCTAGCATAAAGATGAAAACTGGATTATAATTATTGCAATCCTCCGACGACTATGGTTCACAAACCGCCAACTCTTTCATTGGTCTCAACTCAAATGATTATCTACACACACAACATGACAACAACATAACGTTCCGTGTTAAATAATTGTGTTTGTTTCATTAAGCTTTCGTAAGGGGCTGCTCTTTGGACCAATAGTTAAGATATGTTGGTTCTGGTAGTTAACTCAAACTCAGATACATTAATCACCAGTGTTATATATCCACACTGGTCTTATTTACCAATTAATGTGGAATAAAGACTCTATCATGTTCATGGAGGAGAATGATTTTCATCTTCTTCATTTCGGTCGTCATATAAGCGTAAACCTAGTAATTAATAGAGAGCTTTTTTCTCTCCTTTAATCCATTCGTAGTATACTTATAAATGAATGGAAAAATATTCTAATCTTTCCATCCCATAGAAACTAATAAGCGATTATTGAGGTGAGTCTGTCCAGTGGCAGACCCCGGATTTTTGCTTGGGGGCCCCCTCGCTCTGCCACTGCGCAATCAACTAGTAAAAACATAAGAAAATAACATCAATTCACAAGGAAACACAAGAAAATTGTTACGTGGAAAAAATCTTCAATGTGAAGAGATAAAACCACACGACGAATTAACGATCCACTTAAATCCAATAAATCAAAAGAGTTAACTAATGCATATTTTGACAAACATGCAAATGTAGCAAGTGACATAGTTGCAAAAAGTAATAAAGTGATAAGTAGAGTATGTTCCACGAGGATAGTATTACTAAGTACCGATTTCTCTAGTTTAGTCCTAATTGAAGCAACAATAAATTGGATTGATGGAAAATTAACGAACTAAATACAATTTAAGATAAATGAATTATAATGAAATTAAAGGAAAACCCAATAACTTAACTAATTAAACACAATGCTAAAAAAAATGTTAGGGTGTTGATTTCACTAGATACGCTAACCCAAATCATAGAATCTATTACCCAAGTTCTAATTCTTGATTGAAAATCGAATTCCCTAAGTTATAAAAACTACCTTCTCAGGCTATATTTTTCTACTTATCCTTATTAGCTTCCGCACCCAACAAAATGAAGATTTATAGTTCAAAGTTTTTTAAGCTTTATGGAATTCTATCTAGATTTCATAAATCGGTAAACTTATCTCTAGTGTTTGCTTAATTTACGGTATTTATTCCAAGAGGCACAATCACAAATCATCTTGTCTCATTGTGAACAATACACATTTGAATAGTGATCAAGCACCAAAAGTCATTAAGCAAAGAGATAAATACTCAATCATAAAATTAAAACTTAAAGTAAATCAATCATATAAATTTGAATCATTGTATAAGGTTACATAACCCTAGCTAAACAACCCATTCATACTCAAAAACAAAATAAAATAAAAAAAACAAACTGAATCAAGATTTACATTGAAAAACAAGCAAAAGATGGAGAAATCTTCTCTAATTTGAAACTCAAATCTTCAATAACTTCTCCTTTCAAGAGCTGCCTTCCAAATGACGAACCAAGACCCTTTTTTCTTCATTTTCGTGCTAATTTATATCTCTTTCTCTTAAGGACCAAGCTAGAAAGCCAAACGCGTTTGTTTATTTTTCACATCTAACGAAGTTTGCGCGGCGAAGCTTTTTCCTTACCGCGGCGAAAATTTTGGGCCAAATTGAGCATGAAAGAATCTGAATATGGAAAAGTGTTAAACATATGAATTGTAGCCCTTTAAATTATATTTACTCGTTAAAGAATCAGCACAATCCGAGGTCTACAACTCAGTTATGGCAGAAATATTGAAGCACGTCCAAGACCTTTTCTTTAGTTTCCAACAGGTTTTCACCATTGTCCAGCAGAATAGTAAAAACCCAAACACAAAAGTGTAGCTCTACTTCTTAGCTTCCAAAGCTTCTTAAATCATCTTTATAGATAAGCTCCATTTTTTTTCATTTTTAATAATTATGAATTCCCTGAACATGAACATGATGCTTCATAAAATATGTGAAATTTATTACACTTCTTGAAATGGCATCAAAGTTATTCCTTGCTTGTGTGCGATTTTGAACTTTCAAATTGATAGAATTGTTTATTACTAATGCTACCCCATAGCAGCCCTTAAATAATGAAGCAACTGTGAACTTGCAGGCTCTTATTTTCCTGTTAGCTCTTGTGGTTAGGGCAGCAAACAGACCTGTAGAGTATGATAGTGATGATGAGCTCATTGCCCCAAGGCAACAAATAAGGCAGCCCTTGCTCAACAGGCCACCAGCTCCTGCAACAGGTGTGCCTGTAGCTGGAGCTCTTGATCAGCGTCCAAGTAGAAATGATGCTTGGAGCACACGCATGAGGGAAAAGGTGCGATATTTTTTTCCTAGAAATATATACTTTTTAAATGCTGAGAACATGGGTGCTTTATCTGCTAATTATGAATAGTATTTTGTTGCACTGTACTGCCTCTTTAATATATTGTCAAAACATTGGATCTAGATTCTCAGGAAGCGTCTAAATTTTGGAACTATCTGAAATGCTTGAATTGACCCAAACAATTTATTTTGCATTTTAAACCTGCCTTGCTTACCCTACAATCTTTTCTTATTCTGATATTGTAGGGAAAATATATCTTTAGATTTCTGATCACTCATCCAGTTAAATCCCTAATCTTGCAATTGATTCATGTGGTTACTGTATGTACAAAGAGAACACTGAGCCCATCTTATAATCAAGTAGAATTTAGAGACTACTGTTGATGCTCCATCTCATTCTTGAGTATTTCATGATGTTAGGATTTTATGGTCTAATACTTATGCACTCATCAACTTGATTAGTGTAATATATGACAATTTGTCCCAGTTATTATTTCTGACCTCTGAGATACCTTATATTAGGAGCCATATAGGGCCCATTATCATGTAGTACCATCATAGTTTTCTATCTTTTAATAACCATCATAGCACTGAGATTGGATGAATATATGTTTGTTTATTTATAATTCATACTGAGTTCTAGTCCTGATACTGTTTTCTGGTTTATAATGCGTTTAAACCAGTATGGGCTCGATACTTCTGAGTTCACATACAACCCATCTGAGTCACACAGGTTCCAGCCAGTGGCCCCACAACAATCAGAAGAAAGGAGTCGTTGCACCATTATGTGATGCCTTTGTGGATGTTGCCCAACTCAAGTGTTTTTTGAACAATGGTTTCAGAGCTTAAAAGTTTCCAGAGGACGGTCTTTTCCTTTTTTGTGTACAAAACTCATTGTTTTACTTTGATCATGAATTCTCGTGGAGTTCAGTTGAGTCGTTGCACCCCGTATTTCACTTTATGCCAACTGCATTACCATTTTGTGTGTAAAAATGTACTAATTACAATCATGAATTCTCGTGGAGTTCAGTTGAGCTTAATTGTTTTTATAGAGTTGTGAGGACATTCTGTACTTGCATAAGGCTTATTGAAAAAAAAATCTAAGGGTGTGTTTGTTTCCTTATTTTTGTCCTATCTTATTTCTATTATTTTCAAAATACACATTTATTTCCCTATTATGAAAATACTATTATATTTTATTCAATTATTTTAAACCTCCTAAGTTTGTTAATTTAACTAAATACCCTCCAAAAAAAGTTTAGAAATTGATAAAAACACCTTTATCCATTCACATTTGTCAGATTTCGGTCACCATTGTCGTCAGGTGGTCGAAATCTGGTATAATAGCGCACTATTGGTTGGATTTGGTCGATAATGCGTCGATATAGTATTTTCTGGCTATATTTACGGTGGATCTAGTTGGAAAAAGCCAGATCTTTGGTCGTAGTTAGTCGTCAACGATAACCATATATTTGGTCGTCGTTGACGACTAAACGCAGTTAGATCTGACCTTTTCCAGCCAGATCCATGGTGGATCTGGCTGGAAAAGACCATCTAGCTGATCGTGCGCTGATATGGTGACTCAAGCCATCCTCCAGCGGTGGTGGCCAGCTGCCAGTATTTAATGGGTGAGTGGGGGTGTTTTTATAATTTTTAATGTTTTTATTAAGGGGGTCTTTAGAAATTAACAAGCCTAGGGGGTGTTGTTGTTAATTTTCAAATTTTACCTCGTAATTACTACTCAATTCTTACTTTTTCAAAAACATTATTCAAAATACTTAAAAAACACACCTTAAGCTTTCACATTATGCACAACTTCTAAAAAAGCTGCATTTCTTTTCTTCTTTAAAGAAACCAAACATCTGGAAATTTTTCAAACCTAATTCTTCCTGAATTTAGGGTATCACCATCTTTTAAGCACTGTTTTAAAACCTGGACTGGGACTCGGAAGCTTCTCTGGTTCGGTTCGTTTTAGGGGGGTTTTTTGTAATATTTCAAATTTATAGGGGCTAATTAAATTTTCTAGGGGTGTTTTGGAGATATATAAAAAAATTTAGGGATTAATTGGTAATTTTTTGGAGGCATTTTTGAAATAAATAAAAATTTTAAGGACTAATTTGAATTTTTAGGGGTATTTGTGTAATATACTAAAATTTAAGTGATTAATTTATAATTTTTTAAAAATAAAATTATTGTTGACGTCACCGGTCCAAATCCAACCGACCAGTCCAATCGGTTGAACTGCTCGACCCATGGCCCAGTCACTTTATCGGGTCTCACAATGGGTTGAGTTTTAAAACAATGCTTTTAAGTTTTGTTTTACTTTGATCTACATTCAAGTTGCTCGAAGTGTAGTTGGTGTGATATCAAAGTTTGATCTTATTCAACAAGTTGGGATAATAAATGTCACTTAATGGGAGAAGCTAATTTACATTGGCTTGAAATTAAATGCATTAAAGCCTCGTGCAACCATTGTTTTAAAACCTGACTCGTTGTGAGACCTGTAAAGTGACCCGGTCATGGGTTGACCAGTTCAACTGGTTGGACCGATAACATTAGCAATAATTTTATTTTAAAAAAATTTATGTAATCCCTTAAATTTTAATATATTACAAAAATACCCCTAAAAATTTCAAATTAGTCTCTAAAATCTTTATTTATTTAAAAAGTGCCCCAAAAAATTACCAATTAATCCCTAATTTTTTTGACATATCTCCAAAACACCCCTAGAAAATTACAATTAATCTCTATAAATTTGGAATATTACAAAAACCCTCTAAAATCTGAACTGGTCCAGAGAAGTTGTCGGGTCTAGATCCGACCAGTCCGGGTTTAAAAACAGTGCGTGCGACCTTGGCTGATTGCTTTATTTTTCATAGTATCTTGTATGAAACTATGAATAAGAATTAGAATGATGAAACAGAAGGAAGATATTATTGAGTGATATTTCAATGTCATTGTCCATAAATAACGCAAGAATTGCAGAGATGATGGAGGCGGTTAGTCGGTTCCAGAAGATATTTTTGTTTATCTTAAAAGAAAACAAAAAGAATAAACGTACATTGTAGATGAAAACTCACATGTAAACACTCCCACTGAAAACAAAACAGATACATCATTGTCTTCTATATCTGTTTTGGTCTTGTTAGTTGTCGAGGTGTTTAAGACTCTACCGACATTCAATTGTTTACAGAAGGGTCGATTTCATTTCCTTAAGTGCACATCACTTTCAGTATTAATAAGCTAATCAATAATGCTAAATGTGCAAACAAATCTTACCAAGTTATGTATAAACTGATGTACAAAAATAAATAAAGAGTAAATATGAGTTTAACTTTTTGTACCATTCTTTTATTATTATTTCTGTCATATCAGTTTGTACATAAATCTTTGCAGAGTTGTTTGTACATGAACATTACTTATAAGCTAATAAAGGAGTGTGCTAAAGTTGGTATTCCTCTCTTCTCCAGTTGGGTCCAAGTTCAAACACAAACAAGAAAGTGATTGCGGTTGAGACTTGAGAAGGACCAGAGATTGGGGTCTTTAATTATGCAGGTACTTAATTTTGTGCTCGTTGGTGAATGGTGATAACTGATTCACAATGGGTTCTGGTAATGACAATATTATACCGAGATTCCAGACAAAACAAAGGCAATTAAGAAGATTAAACTAGTGGGTGATGACTAAACCATAACCCACACAGCCCACTACATCTTATAGATAATCGATGGTTTAAATATTGCATTATCTAGCATAAAGATGAAAACTGGATTATAATTATTGCAATCCTCCGACGACTATGATGTCCACAACCGCCAACTCTTTTCATTGGTCTCAACTCAATGATTATCTTCCACACACACACATGACAACAACATAACGTTCCCTGTGTTAAAATATTCTGTTTGTTTTCATTAAGCTTTCGTAAGGGTTGCTCTTTGGACCAATTAGATTAAGATGTTTTGTTCTGGTTAGTTACTCATACTCAATGACATTAACAACCAGTGTTATTATCCAAACTGGTCTTTATTTTACCATATATATGTGGTAACTTAAAGACTCTATCATGTTCATGGAGGAGAATGATTTCATCTTTCTTCATTTCGTCGTCATATAAGCGTAACCTAGTAATTAATAGAGAGCTTTTTTCCTCCTTTAATCCATTCGTAGTATACTTATAAATGAATGGAAAATATTCTTATCTTTCCATCCCATAGAAACTAATTAAGCGATTTATTGAGGTGTAGTCGTCCAGTGGCAGACCCGGATTTTTGCTTGGGGGGCCCCCCTCGCTCTGCCCACGCTTGCCAATCAACTAGTAAAACCATAAGAAATAACATCCAATTCACAAGGAAACACAAGAAAATTGTTACGTGGAAAAACTTCTTCAATGTGAAGAGATAAAACACCAGGAATCTAACGATCCTTAAATCCAATATAATCAAAAGAGTTAACTAATGCATTTTTTTGCAAACATGCAAATGTAGCAAGTGCACTAGTTGCAAAAAGTAATAAAGTGATAATAGAGTTCGTTCCCACGAGGATAGTATTACTAAGTACCGATTTCTCTAGTTTAGTCCTAATTGGCAAAATAAATTGGATTGATGGAAAATTAACGAACTAAATACAATTTAGATAATGATTATAATGAAATTAAAAAACCCAATAACTTAACTAATAAACACAATGCTAAAAAAAATGTTAGGGTGTTGATTTCACCTAGATACGCTAACCCAATCATAGAATCTATTACCCAAGTTCTAATTCCTTGATTGAAAATCGAATTCCCTAAGTATAAAACATACCTTCTCAGGCTATATTTTTCTACTTCCTTATTAAGCTTCCGCACCCAACAAAATGAAGATTAATAGTTCAAAGTTTTTTAAGCTTTATGGAATTCTATCTAATTTCATAATCGGTAAACTTTCTCTAGTGTTTGCTTAATCTACGGTATTTTATTCCAAGAGGCACAATCACAAATCACTTCTTATTCTCATTGTGACAATCCATTTGAATAGTGATCAAGCATCCAAAGTCATTAAGCAAAGAGATAATACTCAATCATAAAATTAAAACTTAAAGTAAATCAATTCTATAAATTTGAATCATTGTATCAAGGTTACATCAACCCCTAGCTAAACAACTCATTCATACTCAAAAACAATAAATAAAAAAAACAACTGAATCAAGATTTACATTGAAAAACAAGCAAAAGATGGAGAATCTTCTCTAATTTGAAACTCAAATCTTCAATAATCTTCTCCTTTCAAGAGCTGCCTTCCAATGACACCAAGACCCTTTTTCTTTCATTTTCGTGCTAATTTATATCTCTTTCTCTTAAGGACCACCCTAGAAAGCCAAAACGCGTTGTTTTATTTTCACACATCTAACGAAGTTTTGCCGCGGCGAAGCTTTTTCCTTACCGCGGCGAAAATCTTTTGGGCCAAATTTGAGCATGAAAGAATCTGAATATGGAAAGTGTTAAACATATGAATTGTAGCCCTTTAAATTATATTTCTACTCGTTAAAGAATCAGCACAATCCGAGGTCTACAACTCAAGTTATGGCAGAAATATTGAAGCACGTCCAAAGACCTTTTTCTTTAGTTTCCAACAGGTTTTCACCATTGTCCAGTCAGAATTAGTAAAAACCCAAAACACAAAAGTTGTAGCTCTACTTCTTAGCTTTCCAAAGCTTCTAAAATCAGTCATTCTGAGTTTCCAAGCTCAAGTTACGTAATTTACGCTCAAAACTGTCATTTATGATCAAAATCACGTTTAGGCCTACAAGACAAATTAATAAAATTAGTAACAATTATGGCCCAATTGTATGAGAAATATCCTAAATCCTATCGAATTTAATGACAAATCATAGAAAAAATATGATTATCTTTACACACACCACAAATCTACTAAAAATATTCTACACTATTGAACTCAATCACACCTCTAATAAAAATAAAATCACAAAGATTTACCAAAGATGAATTACAATCACTCCAAATCCAATCCCATGTAAGGGGGAAGTTGGAAATTGGGAAGAAAAACTTGAATATGACAAAACTAACTTTTTAATTTTTTAACTTTAACTTTCTTTTTTACCTTTTAATAAAACTTTTCAATT